TCGAAGCAAGAAATTATTGCACTGAATTGCACTGATCAAAGTGTAATTATTCACTGATTTCCTGCCATTTTCAGGCCAATTGTACACCACTTGTCACTCATTTCCTCCCCTTGACTCAACATTCTCCAGTTCAACAGTCAAGTTGGAGATTAATATTCCTCCTCCCTCTCCCAATTTATTCTCCTCCAATCGTTTGTGGAGTTGCGCCCAAAAAGTTCAATACACTTGAAATTTAATCGTTCTTTTTTTCTCATTACCATGTCGCTTTTTTCCTCCAACTTCACCGCAGTAGTTTGTTTGGCTGTTGAAAGAATGCAAGTTCACTTCTTTACACATTCTTAAAGACACACTCACTTATTTGTTTATTGCGTTACTCCTCTGGACTTCTCGTCTTTACACTTTATACTTCTCAAAACCAGCATTGAATCTGTAATTTAAATTAATTTGACTGAGCTTGCTTTTTTTCGCCTTCTCACCATCTCATTGACGACAGACGGAAAGCGCGTATTCTTCAAAGATTCTGAGTGTGGAATTTCACGTGGAAATTCTCTCTGGTTTTGCACTGTGGCTTTCAATATCGAGAAAGTTCATTAAGTCATTTTCACGCTTGGCTCCTCGTGAGCAGAGCATGAAAAGGGCGCCCCAGAAGCGTGTTGACAGGCAACCGCCAACCAGGGAAAACCTCAAAAATTCAATTTCGAACCGGCGGGAGCCCATTTGCAAGCAATTCGGCTGTGGCCAAGCTCAAAATCCATTATGATTGCAATTTAGCCGCGTCCCGAGTGGCATATAATTGTATCTGCGGATGAAACTTTCTGTTCACGGGCGAATTTTTTTTTAAATTCACCAAAATCTGAAAGATTCTGGATGTGGCTGAATTAAAAATTAATCAACAAGAGAGTCTCGCTCTCAACTTGTTAGAATGATTTCATTAAAATTCTTTTGAGCGCATTTTCCCATTTCGCATCGACATGTGAGAGTTGGGAAAACAACAAAGAGCGACAGAGAAAAGGGTGGAATAATGAAAATGCCACTGGCTAAATTAGTAATTATCGCAATTTTGTGTGCTCCTGGAAATGACTTCAAGGACTTCAAAGAGAGAGAGTGAGCATCCCGGATGGAATGCCTAGCATTCCGCAAGAAGGTAACCTTTCTCCTTAGCGGCAAAGGTATTCCTCAACCTTCTTACATCCTTGAGAAAAATGGTCACCCAGGCATTTTGTCAGACACTGAGAGAAATTTGCGGTTTCACGTCTTTGTGCATAGTTAAGTTGGTTGAAATTGTAGAGATTTTGAGGATTCTTGGCTGATGGAGTTTAATTCGGGTCTCTCAAACGAGTGACACTCTGACCTGCTCCTCATTTTCCCCTTTTCTTTCTTTCTTCTCAGAAATCCTGACATCCAGAGTTGGAAAGACCGACATTTTGCGACGCCACGTGACTTGTCTGAAGACCAAGCTGCAACCTTAATCCGGCCAAATAGTGAGGAGTTTGCATACATCGATCACACATTGATCACTTCGAACAATGAAAATGAAACAATTGAAATCTCTTCTCATCAGTGTTTGAGTGAAGTTATGGAATTAGTGGCACTGAAGACAGGTTAACATATTGGAAGGGATTTAATACCTCCCTGAAATTAATTGGATGCCACAGTGTATAGCAATCTATAGGAGATGTATAATGGATGGAGTGGATAAAAGTGGGTGAATAATTGGGGAGAGTTGGAGGAAAATCCCTTGAAAGTCCTTAACTCGTTTATTCCTCACCTGCTCAACCATCGTCTTCGATTCTTTTCTCAATTGCGCCACAAGACAACCAACGCACAGGATAGAGTTAACGCCCAGAGACCAAAGCGAGCGAGTCTTCCTTGGACTGCAACTTGCCTAATTAAAATTCTAATTATAACTTTGAATAAACTTTTCGGAGGTGTGTTTTGTCATTTAAGTTGACACCAACAGAAGGAGTGTGGGGAAAATGGGATTTTCTCTCACTGCAGATTTGCTAATAGACTTCTTCAAGGAGAAATTCACCGATGGAATTTTAATTAAAGTCCCATTGATTTTTACATTTGACAGGCAATGAAGCGATGGTTGTCGAACATGGCGAAGAGGAGTTTTTTTCTTCTTCTCTTCCTCCTCATGAATCCCTATCACTGGTAAACATAGTAAATCTCTCCCAATTAATTCAACTATGCAGCATATTTGCTCTCTCAAACATATGCACGCTTCAACCCCATGAGCAGTCGCCCTATTGAAAGTAATTCAATTAAAACAGCACGCTCTTTATGCAAATTCGCATCCTGGAGTGCGTAGAAAGAAGTCCATGAACGATAATCCCACCATTACACAACCCTTATTCACACGTTTGCGTCCCGCACTCCGAATCAATCACGATTGAGAGAGCGGGAAAAAGGGTTGCAAATCAGGGATGAGTCGCAGTGCGACTTGGAAGAGATTGACAGGACAACCAAGGGAGATATTTGGATGAATGCTCCCAATTGGATTCGGATCATTTTTCAATGTTGATAAATGTCCGAGAGACTTTGGTGGAGATATTTTTTCACAACCAGCGCTACTGTAATTCAATTGACAGCGAAGTGCGCTCTCACCTCAAGCAATATGTCTCAAGGCGTCTCTGTGGGGACAAGTGAAGACGCAATTAAATTTGAAATGCTTGTATCATACAAACAAATCACCGAAGACAGGCTACAATGGCTCAAAGGCAGGATGGGAAGCGGAAAGGGAGACGCTTGAGTTTAATTAGATTTTAAGCTTGCCCCTGTCCTGCTCCATTCAGGACTTCTCCCACAGTCACTGACTCATAGAATCGATTGGAAGTCTCTCACCAGTAATTCAGGGGTGGAGATATGAAAATTTGCACACTTTTTACCACTATATTAAAATAAATTGAAACACTTGCAAATACTTCTACTGAGCTGTACATCACTTCTGACCATAATATCTTTTCCTTGATGTAGAATTTAAAGCACAAAGTCTTCCCTAAACCATTGTCTATAGCTTTTGGTACACAGTGACTTTCCATGTAAAGTGTGGGAGTCAATGAAGGATGACGATGTCGATTTTCTGCTCAGCGCGTCATAAAACAATTTACAGGATGACATTATGGAAATTATTTCAATGTAGCACATAAAGCCATATACATTTGGCGCGAGTGCGAGGAGCGCGAGTACATGGAAGGGATGTATATAAAAGTATAAGAGTCAAGCAGACACCTTTCAACTCACTTGCAAGGGATGCCTTGAGGAAGTTTTAATGCCATCACATGTGGCAATAAATTGTCCTTTAGGCCGTCGTGCTTGTGAAAAATCCCCTTTTAAATACACCTCCTCCCAAACACTCTCTCTCTCTCTGCATTTCGTCCATCATTTTGCCATTTTGCCAGGCACATCAGGGAAAAGAAAGTGTGGACTGAATTGCTGTTAGTGGCCTAGATAGGGAGTTTTGCCTTAATTGAATTCACATTGAAAAGGGCTTAATTATTATGAAAGTATCCCAGTGACTATAAATCCCGTGTTGGAGCACGTTCCATTATCCCAATGGTAAACTCCCGAGTTTATTGTGTACTCGGGTAAACACATCGATCTGTTGACAGTATTGAAGGAGAGACGAAGAGGCGCACATTAAATACGACTTGTGCACAGTGAACCCAAAACCCCTTTTTCCACCACTGAACCATGGTAATCATGAAAAAGTAATTGAGTTGATTAATGTGTATACAAACCAGGAGAGTAATATATGTAAATATATGTTTGCATCGCCCAAAAGCGCGCGAAAATGCAAAACTTTATCCACCAGGACTCATCAAATATTTGATCTACATTTGCACAGCAAAGTTTCCTCTCGTGAAATTTCAATTGATATTAATATCGAGCACAATATACACACGATACACACACACATTGTGTGCTTGAGCCATTGCCTGGGAAACAATGCGGGAATAAATTTGGCGAGGGAAGTCAATTACTTGCACCACTGAATCGCTGATGGAGCAAACACACACCCTCTGTGTAAGAAATCGAACTTTTCCGCTGGATGAATGATTGATGATCAGCCGAAACTTTCGACTATTTGTGAGCCACTTCGGCCGGATTATGTATGGAAGGTAGGAAAAAGGATGCGGAGATCCTGCACAACATCTCCCCCCCCCCCCCCCCCTCCCCCTCGCATTGTCGTTAATTTATGGGCAAGAAATGCCTCTGTTATTGGGCCGCTCAACAGGTTTAATTTCGATTAATTTGGGGGAAAAAGGCTTGAGCGAGCAATTGAAGACTATCCAGAGAAGGATAACGCGCCCTAGATAGACGACAAATATACAGAGCTGTAGATAAGGAATTTATATGCTGCCAAATAAATATTTGTCTTGTCTGTCAGAGAACACAATGAAATCCGTGTGGCTAAAAGGGTTCCAGTGAGAGAGCACGAAAATATTGTCTTTCGCTCTATTTTTCCGCATTGGAAAATAACTTTTCACGGATGACGTCCGATTTAAGGAAAAATGTTTGCGCAAAACATCTCAAAATGCAGTTTTGCTCGCTTTTGTCAATATTTTCCCATACAAATGGAATCAACTACTTTGGATTTACCAGTGGCGTCGTTGGATTAATCGATTTTCCAACCATTCTCAGCTCCCAAAAGCGCACTTCTTAATATTCACAAGATACAAACTTCAAAGTACAAACAATCTCAGGACGCGCCTCCGTGAAAATCCTTTATATCCGCAAGTGGCAAACTCCTGATGAACTGCTCTGGTGGTGGAAAACATGAACAGGTGTCACAAGAAGATGCGTCACTTGCTTTGTAATCTCCAAGCCACACTCAAATCTCTCTCCAGTTGCAATATTCTTGAGGACTTTCGCCTTATCAACACCGCTCAGAGACGCAGGACGAAGTTCCGTGTGAAGGATTTACCCGCTCATTAGCATTGAGGCCGCATTTAAATTACCACGTCTCCACTCTTAAAGCACAAACTCACAGTGTGTTTTCTGTATAAATGACCGTTTATTCTGTTTCTTCATTTCTTTTTCTTACCAAATTGCTGCTGCCACACAAATTAAATGTAAATAGTTTGCTTCTTTTAAATGTTACACACATCAGATTTCTGTTCAATAACATATTAAATCAGCTTCAATTAGTGGATTTTTCCTCTTCACTGACGAACTACGCTGTTTTTTTTTATAGTTTCTCTCCTCACTCTCCACATCTCGTCAATTAATTCATGTTTTTAGCACTTTTCGTTAAATAACAAAATATTATTATTATTATTGTGGCTGGGAAAATGTTCGCAATCGAATTGTGTGCTTTCTCCTTTCACTTTATCTTGATTTACTTCATTTATAATCATTATACTTGTATATAATATTCCACATTTATTTACAAAATCATACTTTTCGCTTTTGTCAATTCGTATTATATTGTTTCTATTTTTCTGTTTCATATAACTTTATACAGAGGTGATAAGAGAACGATTCGGTTTTTTTTTCTTTCATTAAGTGAAAAGCTCTGCATTGTTTTCTCTCTGTGGTGCCTAAAAAAGGGGGGGGAGGAACATTTAAAAATATGAACATTTTCTTAAAAATCTGGGGATGATAGTAAAACATTTTTTTTTAATATTATTGCACTCAATGCAAAATAAGGGTGACTTTCGAAATATGCTGAGCGATAAGTAGAATTCTTCAGAGCGTACGTATTGTAAGTATAATTTTCTTGTGTTTTTCTTTTTTCTTTAATGATTCTCTCACACATTTTTTTTTTCATCCTCTTCACACACAAATGTTTCACCACAATTTCTCTACATACTTTTGCCTAAAACGAACTTTCTCTCTCTCTTCAGACAGCAGAAAAATCATATCTGTTTTATACGTTGATAACACAAATGATTCATATTCACAAATCGCAATCCAAAGTGTTGCTTTTTATCTTCCTTACTTCCTTTCCGCATTTAAATCCTCTCTCTCTTTTTCACGTTGTGTCGCAATATATCCTCACAGCGATTTCTTTTCCATTCTTAGTAATCATCTAAATCGAAGAGTTCAGTATCCATATCATCTAGTTGCATACTCTGGAAGTCTACTTTGTAGCGCAAAATACCTGTTGAGGAGATCAAAGAAGAGAAGAAGAATGTTAATCAATTCATGTGCATAAAGGAGATTTACAAGTGAAATCAATCATAATCACTTTACGAAATAATACTACAAAAGAAAGACAATTGAATGCTATTATAGGATAAGAAACACCTTCAAATAAGAATAGATGAAGAAGAAAAACCAATTCACGTGCAGTAGATTTAATCAATGAGAAGAGAATACGACTAAAATAAAAATTGAAAACATCCTCAATTGCTTTTCAACGACTCATTTCACATGAATGTAATACTTTTAAGGCATCCAAAATAAGATCCTTCGATACGAAATGTGTCTCTAATAAATGTGTCTCTACTAGAGCATAAAAATTTATCTTACAAATATTCTTTTCTAGACTTTCAGATAAAAATTTATCACTCTTCTGATAAAATATCATATTTCAAATTCACCTTGCTACAAGTTTGAAATGAGTCTGCTTGACATTGAAAAACAATGAGAATCACACTTCAAAAGTCCTTTCTTTCAACATATATTCTAAAAAAAAAAAAAAAAAAACAAGAGATGGTTTGATGATGTCTTCCACAATACCTTAACAAAGTTGCAAACAAGATGAATACTTTCCCCTTTTGCATTCTTATTTTTTTCGTTTTTAAGAAAGAAAATGTACACACACTCAAACTCAAGGAAAAACCATCTTATTATTTATGCAAATCAATCGAAAAGTCGCGTTAAATTAATTTGTCGCTTAATTACTGTCTTTTTCTCTTATCTAACATTTCCTTTTCCTCTCAGCCACCATTTCTTCTTCTTCTTCTTCTTTTTTAAAGATAGCTTATCAACTCTTTCTCTGCCCTCTCAGAATCGAGAGACACTGGATGGTTCAATACAATTTTTTTTTAATCATCATTTTGCAGTAGACCTAATTCAGAGATACTTTTCGATAGTTTTTCTTTTATATTATTATGTCAGTGTGTGTGTGTGTCTGTTTGTGTGTTTTTCTTAATAGTCATCGAGATCCACATCATCGAGTGGCTCATCCGCTTGGAGTGATTGGAAATCAACTTTATAGCGCAATATGCCTAACAAATCCACAGCGGGAGCGCAGCGTAAATAGAAATATATAGAATGTCAATTTATAGGCGCAGCCCAATTAAACAGCATAAATATAAAGAGTGCGTAAACACACATCATTACCTCCAATCCCGCCAAATCCTCGAACAAATTGACTTCCCTCTTGCGACTTGTCCGTGATAATTTCGAGCGTAGCACCAAAGCTCTTGTAGTTATTGGCCAACCACTCCAGCAGCGGTTGTGCCTCCACGAGCTCCATCTCCACTCCACTCTGCAAGCATTTGACCAGATGGCCACGCACATTATACAGAACTGGACACATTCACCATCGCATTTAATACTCACTTCCTTGTCAGTAAAATGAGATTTATCCTTTTCCTGTTCCGGCGTCAAATGCAATACTGTTGTTGACGTGGAGTTTGCATGATTCTTCAACACATACCGCTGAATATCCAGATTCTCCCAGCAAATTAGTATTTCTACGGCGCCCAATTCGAGGGCCTTCAGAGTATCCTCAACGCCAAAACAGTACTTGCCAGTGTCCTGCGAACAAGAGCAAAAAGACAGGTGTTAGTCGAATATTACAGCAGAAAAACGAGAGACGAGAGATATTTTGACCTTTCTTGTCCCAAAATGTCTAAGAAATTCACCAAATCTTCAGCTCACCTGTGATATCTCGTCGAAGTATCGTCCAATGAGTTTCTTCTCCTGGATGAACTTCACATTGGCCAGGGACTCTGCAGCCAGTTCGATTGCCTGATTGAATCCATTCTCACCGCCATACGACACGTCCACAAGTTTGATGATTCGCGTGGCCAGTCGCTGCAAAGGCAAACAAAACACGCCCAATTAGCACCGATTCTTCTTCTGCAAAACAACCCCATCAGAGTCTGATCACTCACACTGTCGAACATGTCGGATTGGCTGAGCTCGGTCTTGAAGTCGGCACTACCAGCCAGGATGAGTCCGGCGATATTTGGCTTGTCAATCGTGATGTACAGCTGAATGGCCACCTCGGCCACCTTCCGCACGTAGTTGTGCCGCTTCTCCATGCGCAACCGGGCGAAACGCAGCGCCGACTGTCCACCGCGGCCGTGCTTCTTCGGCAGATCCACCGTGAACTTGTGCAGCACCTCGCGCGTGTTGCCCTGCAGCGTGCCAAATAGCGCTCCATTGCCGTCCATCACGATGAAACCGAATTTATTGTCATCCGCCAGGAGGGCCGTGAGTGCCTCCGTGTGGAATTTGTTGTCGCAGAGGTATAGCGAGGTATTGATCGGCTTGAATGGCTCAAAATCAATGTTCACCTTCTTCTCCTTGCCCTCCTCCGTCACAATCGTTCCACAGTAGATCACGAGACCATTTGGAGGCACTTTGGTGTACAATTTAAGTCTATGCTGCACTGATGTGATGGCACCCAACACGGACAGTCGATTCACGCGTGACTTGATATTGGACGCCGTGCCAAATTCATCAGCCAACATCTTGCTCACGCGCGAGATTTGATCCTTGGGCGGGATGATCAGCGATATCATGCTGGTGCCGTTCCTGTCATAGAATAGACGCAGAGTTAGTGATGACCTGTCAATAGGCTCCGCCCACTCCAGAGCCCCGCCCGCGAGAATCCCCCATTGCAGCAATTGCACCGTGTTTGGCCGCTATTTGACCACCAAACATTACATAAACCTCCCTACAAAGCGCCCTATTAATAGCGCAGCATTGACTTCACTCAGGGACAAGTGGCGTGTCACGAGTTCCTCGTGCAATGTCGCACACTGCCCAGACGGAGAAAATGCAGTGAAAGGTGGACGATGGGGATTTGAAGAGAGCGTGCACAATGAGATTCAATGGATTTTGTGCGCTGTCGCGAAGTCTATGGAAAAATTTCGTTAACGTGACGTTTCGTATCGCGTCCACGCACACAATCACAGCAGTCTGGCTCATGCCAGTTCGGTCTCACTCTCTCTCTCTCTCTCTTTCTCTCTCTTGCTCGCGAGAAATGTGATTCAGGGAAAATTTCCGCCAAGGCCCACTTTGCCCCATGAATGCGACACCCTTTCCAACACAAGACACACACGTCTGGCGTGCACTCACCCTCTGGCCATCTCCAGACTCTTGATGAGCTTCTTAATCTTCCAGATCTCCACATTGCGATCAGCGGACGTCTCCTCGTTCGACATTTTCGCTGTCCCTGGGATGCCTATGATTCCTTCTCAATCAACCGAACCGCACACACTCCGGGTGAACACACACTGGATAATCTCCTGGACACCTCAGTCGCGCTGTGCACAGGAGAGTGTCTCTCTCCGGGTCGTGTAAAAAAAGGGTTTCGTGGCAAAATGGCGTTCTTGAAGAGAGTACTCTCGCGCCGTCTCACTCTGGCACACGGCAGACAAACGGGGCCCCAATGGCTATTCTCCACTTCCCACGAGGAATTATTCAACCTCTTTTCCCTCGCGCTTTTCCGTCTCCGCGGCGCCTCTTCGCGTGATCCTCCACCGGATTATGCAACGTTCACACTCGCTCTACACTTAGAACTGGGTTTTTCGCCGGATTTTGAACAGTACGAGCGTATACATTAGGAATTTACTTGCACTGATTCTTCAACATGTGGAACGTCCAAATAAAAGAGAGATGGCGAAATTGCAGTCACCGTGTTGCCAGATTGAGCGGGAAATGTCGATTCGCGGGTTGCCCAACGTAGGGATTTTTACGTAGGACAAATCCATGGACGTGTGTCTGATAAATTGTGTTTTTTTTATTGCTCTTAGCGCTATATAGAAAAAAGGATTCTCTCAGAAAAATAGAGGATCTCGAGAATATCATTAAATCACATCTCTAGTTGAGTGCCTTCGCCGGGCGCTTCCTTATGTAGTTCTTGTAGTAGAATTCGCCAAACATGAGCGTGATGAAGAGCGTCTGGATCATGAGGAGCGCCAGTAGAATCCTGGGCAGGCCGCAATTGGACACAAAGCCAGACGTGAGGTGCAGGAAGATGATGCCAAACTGGAACATCTGCAGCTGCGTGATGTATTTCTTCCACCAAATGCTCTTCCTGTAGTCGGGATTAACGGCCGCCAGGCCGTAGTAGCAGTACATAACGGTGTGCACGAAGGCGTTGATTATGCCCATGAAGATGAAGTGGCTGTTGGCTACGAACTTGTACAGGAAGCTGCACACGATCGCCATGGCGGCGTGATGGTAGCTGTGGAGGAAGGACGCTTGCTGGCTCTTCTTGCGCAGCACGAAGAATACTGTGTCCAGGAAGTCGAACATCTTGATGAGGCAGTAGATGTAGCTCACGCGCGCCAGTCGCAGCGTGCTCGGCGTCACGCTGTAGTCCACAGGTTGACACTTGAGGCTGTACATGCGCACGAACAGGTGACTCGACTCCAGGAAGATGTACGCATTGAGGAGCACCTGCACGACATTGTACACAATAATGGTGCGCTGTAGCCTGAACGGCTTCCGGTCCATCATCATCCGCGGGCCCCATTTGTACACAAACAGCAAGTACAGCGCCACAATTGCCACCACGGACAGCGGACTCCGGATGATCGGATACTGCGACAGTGGATCTGCAACACAGAAAGTGAGATGTGAGAAGAGATTTGGCGCCAAAAATCATCCGCGCAACACTCACGACTCCAATTCTTGTCCAAATTGTCACAGAACTCAACGACTCGCCGCACAATGAGAAACATTTTGTGTACAGGTCTTTGCGTGGCGATTTCGCTTAAAATTCTGGAAAATCATTTCCTCTTTGGTTTTCTTTTATAAGCCAAAAATCCACCTCATTAAGCAAGTCTCATTAACCAATTATGCTAAGAAAGGTCAATTGATTCCTCTTCTCCGTCAATCAATGTTCCTTCGATTCCTTCTTTTACTACTTTTTTATATTGTAATTACACAAAAAAATATTCCTAAATTATGTACCGTAAAATGTGATTCTGGAATGATGATCACAAATTGCATATCTTTATTTAAAAATGCTCACTTTTCCTATATTCTTCATTCTTCAGACTTTCAGTGTTCAATTTTTCTACACCCACGAGGTCGATGTATTTTACGCAGAGTAGGTAAAATACGCTACGCGTAAAGAAAATCTCGTCGATTGTCGGCCACTCGACACGTTGCTGACATTTTGGTCGACGTGTAACCAAATCATCTCCGGCTGAGTTTCTCCAGTCAGTGTTTTCCGCACTCCTTCAGCAGTTCCCGTGCAAAACAGCAAGAAAACATGGTGAGTTCGCCTGTCGTGTGTGCAGGATTCGCTGGAGATTCCATTCTGTCCTCTATTTTCCAGCCATCGGCTCCGAGTGCGACATCCGTTGGGGCTGGAAGCAGATCGCCCACGAAGCCCTCCTCTGCGCCCAGGAGCGCGACCAGCGGTGGCTTGAAGCAGAGGAAGACCACCTCCTCGTCCTCGTCAGCCGGCCGGACAAGGGCGCCCGGCGGTGGAAGTGGCGGAATGTGGCGATTCTACACTGACGATTCTCCCGGAATCAAAGTGTAAGTCCGAGAGTGGTGCGAAGAGGCTGAATTGGAACTGATTTGAATGTGTTTTGCGTTTCTAGAGGACCTGTGCCTGTTCTGGTGATGTCTCTCCTGTTCATTGCGTCCGTCTTCATGCTGCACATCTGGGGAAAGTACACGAGGGCGTAGAGAAGGAGCCGGAATGATGAGCTGGAAAGCGGCTCAAAGACTCAATTTATCTACAAATTCCAATTCATCGTCATCTCATTGATCACCCAGAAATTTCTCCAGGTAAATCACCAGCATTTTCCGTGGTAGACTGGGACTTTTTCAACATGTGTTAAAAAACCAATCTCAATAAAGAGATCCTCAAGACAAGAAACAAGAGAGTCTTCAGCATTTTGGGGTTGTTTATTTCAGAAGCGGGAAAACACTGATAGATTCAGATAGAGTTTGGTGGTATTCTTGGGGAAAAAGAACCAGGATTGCGTGTAGATCTGCGAAAGTGTCCAAGAAGAAAGCCAAAACATTGATTGTGTATGCTGAAAAATTCTTTTGCTCTGCATTAATTGTCTGCTGACATCTCCGTGATGGACTCATTGATGGCCAGGATCTGGTGCACGAAGCTCTGGTCAGCAGCAACGTCCGCCAGGTCGTTCAAAAGTCCTAGCAACTCGTCAAACTCCATCCTCAATTGCTTGGCCAGCTGTCTTACGTGGCCGGCAACGGTTTCCGGGAGCTGAAGATGAGACAAAGTGGTCAGGATTAGAAAAGAATCAGCTTCATATCATAGCTAAGCACATTTGGACGACACTTTGCGGGATTCAATTCAGTTAAACCTCTCAATTTACTAAGAAAAAATAAGACTACAGTTACAGTTCCTGCCGAACTAATCGGAAATTATTGTAGTTAAAACACTTTTTGTCAGAAGAAAATCCAGAAAATCTTCAACTTAAACTTCTAGGTATTAAAGTAAAACTCACCAATAAATCATTAAATCACTCTTTCCTCTTTTTGTTTATCATTGCAAATTTTTAAAGTTTTCCAACCTTTACACCAAATTAAACACACCAAAAGGAAGAATTTTAAACTTAGAAAAATGTATTGAAATCAAGCCAAAACCACGATTAGAGCAAAGAAGCAGTAAAGTGTGTGTAACTTTTACCATCTCTCGTTTATAGGCTAGAAAAGATGAAGCTAGGATGAAGATTAGAAAGGCTTTAATCTATCATCTTCATCTTCTCACCTATGATTTTTCTAATCTGCAACAAAAATGTGGTTTTAATGTCTCTTCCAATCACTTCATTCAGTAGAGATAGTAAAGATAGTCTTGAACAGAAAGTACGGTTTGTAGGCAATCGGGAAATCAAGGCTGAAATCCCGCCTTTCTATTGACTACAAGTCTATTTCTATTTCTCTCTCAAGATAAGAGTCTTTTAAAGATTTAAAAAAAAATCAAGATTTTCTGTACTTTATGTCCAAAACTTGAGTATATCAATTGTAATTTGGAGAATCATAACTTCTCTATCCACTAAATAGACCCCGGTGCCTCGCTGTAGGGACAGATAGTGCGTTAGCCTAGATCGAGGTAGTTGAAAACTTACTTTGAGCGAATCGCGGCGGTTGAAAGTGGAGAACTTGACCTTGGCTTTCACGCTGGCATTATTGACGCCATCATAGAACAGCGTCAGTTGGGCGTCGGGTCCGGGAACGACAGGGAAGTAGAGTCCGGCACAGACGCGTCCTTTTGCATTCCTCGCCAGCAGTGAGCGGAAGTTGTACACCAGATTCCTGCGCACTGTCACATCAATTGCCGTCTTGTAGGGTCGCTCGACGTAGATCAGGGCCAGCTCGTGGTTGACCGTGGACCCGCGGGTCGTGCGCTCGGACCACTCCACGAAGTTGGTGCTGTGCAGACTGTAGCTGTAGCAGTATTCGCGCCGGCAGTGCGGCTCGTCAGACTGCGTAAACCATCCCGTGTGGGGGTAGCACAGGTCCTTCATCACCGTGACCGCTCGTGCCACGTGATAGCCCGGGTCCAGGATCATGAGTCCTTCTCGGCCAGCCACGCTGATGTGCACGGCAATCAGGGCGTGCTCCTTCTCCAGCGAATGCGAGGCTCCCTCGAGAGAGCGCCCCTTGTGACAGTTGGCGATGTAGGGCTCCGCGGACTCCACGGCTTCCTCGCAGGATACGATGAACAGGTGCTCGGCCAGGGTCGGCAGCACATCGGCCAGCCTCGTGACGATCTCCATGGCCAGGCTCACGCACATGTGGTGACGCCTGTTCACGGGTGGCGTGTAGTGCTGAAAGAACAGACGCAAATCTGCTCCGCCGGAGCCCCTGAAGGTGCCATGAAAGTCCAGGAAATTGTGCACAGTGTCGTAGAACGTCTCCTCCAGCATGCGCTGTAGCACGGTCTCAGTCATGGCCGCCAGCTCTTCATACTGCCACACCTTGTCCACCACGAGACGCGGTCTCTCGCGCGACGACCACGCCGGCAGCGGGAGCGGATGGTCGATGGGCCACGCTCCGTTCTGCTGATCGAACGCCATCAGGTGATAGGAGTCGGCCGCGGCCCAGCGTGTCGAGGACACGAGGGCCAGTTCGGCGGCCGCCCCATCATCGCCGCAGCATTGGCTCGGTCCATGACGGTCGTCCGGTGTCACTCCAGCGGCAGCGGGTGAACCCACCACCCTGGTGGTGACCGGGAGTCCATACCCAAGGCTCCCTTCGGCGAGTCAACTTGGCCACTCGCAGCCCCAGCGGCCAACCGTTGGCACGTAGCCACCATCTTGGCGGTCACTCGATACGGGACTCACAGGTCCAACGTCACTCCGATCCTGCAACTTGGTCAGGCCCGGCTCGTCCCCTCGCTTTGTCGCCTTGGTTTCACGCTCTGCAACGAAGAAGGCAAATTCCATTTGAGACCAATATGTCTATTTCTTACATATCAGAAGTGGGATCCAGTTAATTTTATCTGTCCTAGAAACATCAGGGCTTTTTGGGGTTTGCAAAGTTAGGAAAATACTCAAAAGTAAATTGTGACATCTATTAGCTGTTTTTTTTTAGGAAATACTTCAGATTTTACCATAAAAACGCAGAGAATTGACATGACGTCAAATTCAGTAATGCTGTCTGCAATTAATTTAACAAACATAAAAGTTTCTAATGCTTCTGTGATGTGAATTGGAAAAAGTTGTGCACAAATCAAGGAGAATTTGTCAGTCATGGCAAAGTCGGTAAAAAGTTCGCCCTTGAGTGATGTTGATTAATATACGTAAGTGGCAGGGAAAATATAATTTGTCATGGAAGTATGAGCAAAACTCTTGGAATTGTTTGAAAATTTAAAATGAAAATATACGGGCTTTGCTGAAAACTATACAAGTTGTTCATAGCACTGAAAGTCATTTCTGCATTGTGTAGAGAAATTTAAATTTACAGCGCTATTTTCTCTGGCTCTGAATCCTTGCCAATTTTTCACTGAGAATTACTTCAATATCACGACTTTACCGGCAATATGGCGCCTGAGTGGCTAACTTATAGGTCCAAGCATTGAGTTATTGGACCCTCGGAAGTTTTTATTGTTCAATACATAGTCAAGTGTAAGAGGAGAATAAATAGATGAATGCCACACAAAGAAAAAGCCAATTGCTTGTGGAGTGTTAATACAATCGTGAAAATGCCAAGTGAATTTCCTGTTGAGCAATACAAACACAGGGTGGCAAGAGGCAGAGGCTGGATTTGAAAGACATACATATCAATTAGGCACATATTTAGATTTCAAAGAGGTCAAAACAATTGACACACTTCTTGCATGAACATTTTCTCTACCCCAAAATCAAAGTACATATTCATATGCCTTGGTGTATGTGTGTTTTTTCCTCTGCGTTCTTTGTGTTTTTCTGACGAATAGAAATTCACCCGTGAGTCGGAAATTATCAGGCATGAGATAATGGAAGTTTCTTGCACAATTAGAGGAATGTCGCGCGTGGTACAAAGTACATCGCGATCTCGTATTGTAGCGAGACAGATGTTTGTAGCACCACTGAATTACGATGTGTCTCAGAATTGTGAAATACCACTCGTGGCTTCTGCTGGTACGCAAATATGTCAGGACACACACATTTCAATATTAAATGATTCAGAAGCTTCATCAGAAGCTCTCCAGGAATGCGTCAGCGCACGTGATGTTATGCGTCATACTGAAAATTGTGCATTTTTACAGCATTCATAATAAGACCATGGACTTCTTCGCACTCTCAGGACAGCACAAAGGAAATAGTGCTAATTAAAAGTCTTGTCCGGTATTTATCGTGTTTTTATATAACACAAAGTCAGGTATTTCTTGTTTAACTTCATTTGAAGTATTCCCAGAAAATCCACTACGCACAGAGATGATATCCATTAGAACTTGTGCTCTCAAAAGCAAAGAGACAAATCAATCGATGACGTCAATTTGAATTATTAGAGGATGGGACAAAATAAACTTTAAAAGTGAGTAAATATGGTGTTTTTCACTTTTTTGCTCATCAAAAGTTTAGATAAAAAGACTGACTGTAAATTTCCCGCGCATATTATGCAGATATTCGTGGATTTTCCGCTGAAATCAACCAGATTATGATTTCCATAAGCGTATTATTGGCAATCAAATAACAGAGATGCGACGCACCCCACATTCTTTGCATAGAGTCAAGCTGTCTCTGTTAATTCAGAGGCTATGAACTCAGAAAGAGGCACGAAATGCTCCGGAAATTGCGTCGCAATTGCGTCTAAACAACCATGCTAACAACCTTCGAGGCATCTTTTGGATCGCTCGCTGAGCAAAAGTAAACAAACTCATATCAATTGCCTCTCTCTCTCTCTCTTCCCCACTTTAAAGATAACTGGACGAAGCTGAGGTTTGACTAGTAAAGTGGAAATTCCAGTGTTTAGAGATTGGACAGAGGAAATCATATGATTTGTACAGTTAGTGACCAATTGGAAAGTGTGTGGATTTACTTACCCATACAATGGTCAGAGCCCCCAGAAGCTGAAATTGTTGTTGTCTCCGTCTTCGCTCGCGAAAAGAAAGAAGTAACAAAAGAAAAAAGGGAAAGTCTTTTGATGTGTTTTTTTTTCTTTCCCGAAACTCTCTTTGCAATGAGCGAAACTCTGTCTCTTCGCTGTGTCCTCACTGGCTACGGTTGTTCAGAAACTGTTGCCTCACACAAACTCCTATCCTTGCAGTGTGTGTGGATTCAACTTGGATTTAAAGTCCCTCAATTAGAGTCTGAGCTTCAGAGTGAAGCCACTTAATCACCTCTGTTGTCGACAAGCAGTCGATTTGCACTCCAGAAAACTCCCAGTCCGACTGACTGAGGCAACTGAATCACTTGAGTGAATTTATAGATCACGGCGCCTAAGCCTCGACACACACACTTATCGTCGTACTCGGACGATCCCCTCCTCAGCAGCTCAGCACACCAACACTGTCGCCGTCCGCTCAGCTGAGCCGTGTGCACACGAGCTGACCTGCGCTTCTGTATGCGTGAGCGCCCCTGCGCGGGGTGGGACGGAGTCCCAGGATCCCTTGAGTTCGGAATGTGACCGCGTGACCTTCTCTGTTGTGACGCCGATCGCTGTAGCTGACGAAGAAGGCGAGGATGGCTCATGAGACGGGAACAGGTGCTCGACTTCCCCTCCTGCGGCCCAACAACAGGTGCTAAAAGAGAGCACAACGTCGCATAAAGCATAGCGTCAATCTCAGCTCATGATGTGAACTTTAGTCTGTCGCTGATTGAGCAATTGATTTGCGTCGATTGATGGATTTTGCATAAAAAGTTCTCATTCAACCCAATCAGCTGATGTGTGTGCGTGTGGATTTGCTCAAGGAGAACGTTATCTTAACGCGAATTTGTCCGCAAAACCCACTAATCCGCTTTACGCAGCCCAAAAGTCACTGTGAAGATCGTGTGTCAACCTTTTAACGATTTTACCAGACGCTATAGAGAAAAAGCATGCGAATTCCGAGCTTGAAAATGTGATAAGAAGATCAAAATCACCGTTTCTCTAACTAATCGCATTACTGAGTCAATTAAAATTAATACCTCTCAAAGATAGTTTATGTTTCTAAATTTTATATTTAAACATTACTTTACTGCGTATAAATTTATTACTATTTTCTACATAGTTTAAATATGAAATATTCTAATCATGTTGAAGCGCTCAATTTACAACTTTTTGCATAAATTTGAATATTGAGAGGATAAAATTATGTTGCAATTAGTAAGTTATACAGTATTTCCCAATTATGCTTTTCATAGTTCCTCAGCGATCAATTAAAAGTTGTGACATCAAACCTTCGTTAATTTTGCAAATGAACACACAATCTTACACTGATGTACAATTGCATAACGACATTTATCGCTTTTATCAGTCTTTTACAGCTATTGAAATGCAGGCGTTTATTGTGCTTGGTTAATTGCACGGATGTGCAGAAAAATGATTTCAGACAAAGCGATGGCTCTTGAAATAGACATGAATTTGCTGAGATTATCATGAAATACAGGCACGCTTTAATTGAATGCGCAAATACATGAAAAATTCCCACCGCAGCAAATTCCATTGTGTTGGCAAGATAAGGCAATTTTTGCAGGCACTTTTTCGTGGAAAATTCTCCCTTGATAAGAAGTGTGTCAATGAGGCCGAGAAAATTCTCCGTACGTATTTTCTTATCAGCTGATTTTCCGCTGATTTCATAAATTTCACACAAATGAAGCCTCCATTTTGATGGTTTTTTAGCAAATTTGCACGTTGATTCTGTTGCTAACGTGCATGATAAACGAATGACAGACACTTACATTAATTTCACATTATTCGTGATCATGATTTACTTTATTTGCCAAACACTTATGGAATATTCCTCATCGTCGCCTAATGCTTTTAATCGCCCTGTTTGAGAGTCACATAACTTTGTTTATGAATTCGAAGTTCATTTGCGACTCACTTTTTTAGAAACTCCTTTATTGCGCGATTATGATCTCTTATTTGGTAGAATTCCATCGAGATATTGTTGCCAAGATAATAATCATAAATTTATGTAATGAAGGTAAATATCGTTTTGCTATTCCTCAGCAAAAATGCACTTTTTGCTCTGCACTCAGTGCCAACAACGCAAAATAACGTGAGAAGAGAAGGAATTTTGAAAGAAAAATAGACAAGATTTGCCAAAGACATTTTGCTGTAAAAATAAATCGCACTACAAAAAGAGAGCAACAATCTCAAATTGGTGATAACGATAATAATTAAATAGTCTGATGTTTATTTTCATGTTTTCCACTGCGCAATAATGGGAAATTATTTACAGTCGTCGCGACAGGGTTGAGATGCGAGGTGGGAATGTTTTCAATGAGTCAGAAGGCTTCATTCTCACCCTACACAGTGTGTCTCATTGTGATTTCACCACAGCAACAAAGATGAATGACGTCAAATCTGACAAACCTCACAAGAAGTTGCCAAACAGTGCGTTCGTGATGTCGAAGGGGTGGCTTTTCACGGGAATTCGCTCAATTTTCAGTATAGAAAAGGGTCAGATTGATGACCTATATTTAGAGTTAATAAAATGGCTTCCAACTATCAATTTACAGATGAATTTTTCACGGGAGAATCAATGAAGGTCTTCGGTTATTCAAATGTTGGATTGCGTTTGGTGAAATCAAATTAGTACCGCCATAAATCTGGATTCCGTTCTTTCAATTTGGTATTTGGGTCTTGTTTGGAGAAATGTTATAAATAAAAAAGCGTCAAAGGATAGGAAACTTCAAATCCAAATGGCAAAATGTTTTGACAGAAATGTTGTAAGTTTGGCCACATGATGATAAACTGTCGAAATGTTTCACCGTGCAAACAGTGCTCAGGAGATTATTCTCTTCAGCCTTGTATTAATGTCGCCCCGTGCATATGTATATAGTGAAGCTGATGCAAAGCTCCTGTCGCTTTTGTTCCTCAAAAGGACTTTACAATGAGGAGACTAGAATGCTTCACTGCACAAACTGCACAGTGTGTTCGAATACTGTCCATTTTGCCCTCTTTGTCTTATGCTTTTGGGCGAATGAAGATAGGACGCCCCAGTTTGCTGTGGACAGACAGCACAATGCAAAGCGACTTGAGCTCTCCCCTCTTGTGTGCACTGCCGTAGTCGGAATCGATTTTTCAATCACCTTCTTTTTGTGGGTAATTTTTCATGCGACTGGGAAAATCAATAGGATTTCCTCCGCAAGAGGAAAAGTGACGCGTTCCCTTCTACATTTCCCCCTACACGCAGTCATTTTCCTTGCTCTCTGACGCAATAAATAAATAAAATTAGAGAATAATGCGATGCACGGAAAGCAAAATTGATTTTCCCCAACCCCCATATTTCTACATTATTCTCAGTATCATTTACCTCCTGCTTGGTGCTGTTCTGTTCTGCGAACAATTTACTTTTTCACCTTGGATGTCTCTCGATGCCAATTGCAGGAACCAGAATAATAAAATAAAAGGAGGATGTAGTCTGAGGATATCATCATGTTCCGCCAGGCGCGCAGAGGACAGAGGATGGAATCCAGCGGGATCCCGAGGTGCTCCCGGAAGTTGCCTTTTGCACTGCACACTGCACAGAGACTCACTTGACTGAAGAATGAGAATGTCAAACGGACGAGGAGCAAGACGCCAAATGGCGTATGCTGAGGTTGTGGAAAAACTGGATGCCTTTTCTTTCAACTCCTGCTTTTCTATGCGACACCCTCACTCTTTTCCACCACTGCGACGCTCTTCTGCGCCGCTCTTCTCCCACTTTTGTCCGGACTCTGTCACTTCCAAAGGCTCTCCTTCCACGGGTGAGTCCATCCACAGCCCGGCTCTCCTGAGACTCACCCATTGTCCACCGGGAGCAAGGCTGCGATGCCTGGCATTCCTCTTGGACATGATTTCATTAAAATAGCGTTGTGGGAAGAAAAAAAAATGCAAGACAATCCGACTGTTGGAGCAAATGTGAGCGAACGAGAATTTACGATGGTGTGGGTTTTAAAATAGCGAAACTCGTGTAAAAAGATGTTTATTTAGCTCGTGGACACACTGTGAGGCTGGTCGAAATATTTTATAATCCATTTAAGTGAAATTACTTCCTCATTTACACACTCTATCTGAAGTTGATAAAAAAAAATAATTTTGAGCACAAAGAAATGCTAATTGAGTCATCATACATATATGCTCTTTGATCGAGCATTTACATGTTTTGCATTCAATAGACCCAATTGAACGCTAACATCTTCCAATTTCATTTCAATCTTCCTTCCTGGCGAGAAACGTGTTCATTCCAATATTGTGCCTTCGCGAAACGTGACTTTGGTCTGCATTGGCAATGCAAGCACATTTCCACAACGCACAAAATGCCGAGATTATTGTAAAATTCTTTATCAACTCTTATCGTCACGTGTCACATTGAGTATATTAAATCCACTCCACAGTTCGACTCTTTCTTTGAGATTTCTCAATATACCTCTAGACTTGCTTCTAGATATATTTGAAGAAGTAAGAAAATTTCTCTTGCGTCCATTGGAGATTTTTTTTAAATTATTTATTTTATGTCAGTGTAATTTTTACGATGTGCTCATGAATATGCTTCAAAAGACATTAATTTGAGGTCATTTTTTATATGCAACCCACACAATTTTTGGGGGTAGAAACTAATTAGATTTTTTCCTTAAATGGGCTATAAAGAGGAAATAATAATACAATCGGTTTGGAATATTGAGTACATCTTCTCAACAGTTAGAGAGTCTCAAAGCCAGAGTGCGACAAATGATTAGACTTCCACCGACTTTTCAGCAGAATATCGTTCGTCGTGCGTTATGCGATATTGAACAAATTTTTCGCAGTGCAGGAATCAACACATGGCAATACGGTTTGTTTTGGTTGTGTTTCTCCGCTTTCGCATGTGAAAATCGCTAGAAATACGTGATATTTTGCAAAGAACCCCATTGAAATAGTTGTATTTACTGGTAAAGTACCATATTAGTGCTGTATCACAGGTGAAATCTTTTTAATTCTCCCTGGAATCTGTTCAACTGTGATCTAACCTCAAAATGATCCACTTCAATCGTGGGGGCGATTCCGGGACGTTCCATTTGGATGCCAATGAGCTGAAATTCGCTGCTTTCACCTCGGAGGAGGTGAAGAAGCTCAGCAAGGTGAAAATCTTTACGTCGCAGACCATCGACCGTCTCGGCCTGGCCATTCCGGGAGGTCTTTATGATCGCCGCATGGGTCCTTACGACACAGACGCCGATCCCTGCCAGACGTGCGGCCGTGTGTTCGTGCAGTGCGAGGGACACATCGGGCACATTGACCTGTGCATGCTGGTGTACAATCCCATCTTCATCCAGACGATTTACAGCCTCCTGCGCATCAGTTGCTTATCGTGCTTCAGACTCCAGCTCACAGACCATGTAAGGTCGATTCTGGAGCTTCAGCTACGCCTCGTGGACGCTGGCTACATCATCGAGGCGCAGGAGATTGAGTACCTCAAGTGCGAGGCGGCGGCGTGTGCTGAGGGGGCGCGAGTGAAGCTGGAGAATGGCGAGAGTCTGCATCCCAAGATTGCTGAGCTCAAGGAGTTGCTGGATCGCAGTCCGGTGAATCACTACCACAACAAGAACACGGAGGAGCTGCGATTGAGCATCATCTCGACGACACTGAAGATGGGCCTGAGGAAATTCTGCATCCACTGCAAGCAGGGCTTGAAGCGAATCAAGTACTCGTACAAGACGCTGATGATGAGCATCTCCAAGGCGGAAATGATGGACTTTTAGTGAGTATGAGGAGTTCTTCAGCAGGAATTCATCAACTGTAATTAATTTTTGTCTTCTTTCAGCAAGAGCCAATCGGACATGCTGTCATTCGAGGAGCAGCAGAGTCGCATGAAGTCCTCAAATAAGGCAATCCTGGCCGAAGAATGTCGCAAATATTGCCGCGAAATCTACGTGAATTATCCTCAATTCTTCCTGCAACTCTTCCCGGTGCTGAAGAACGCCTCGTCGTCTGTCGTCACGCCCTTTGACATCTTCTTCACGGACTGCATCGCCGTGACGCCGCCTAAAGTGCGGCCGGCGGGCAAGATGAACGGCCGCGTGATTGAGCATCCGCAAACTGAGATCTACAAGAGCATTCTCACGGCGAATGTGGCCCTGAAGGCGATCCTGGACTTCAATACTGCAGACAGGAGTGCGAACAACAAGGACATTGAGTTCCTCTATGAGAGCTCGCGTGGCGACAACAAGTACGAGAAGATGTACAACGCGTGGCGGGAGTTGCAGTCGCACGTGGACGAGACGCTGGACATCACGATGAGTCAGAACCGGCAGGCAATGGGGATGGGCTTGAAGCAGATTCTGGAGAAGAAGGAGGGCATCATAAGGATGCACATGATGGGGAAGAGAGTAAACTTCGCCGCGAGAACTGTGATCACGCCAGATCCGAATGTTGATGTGGAGGAGATTGGTGTGCCTGAGTTGTTTGCCAAGAAGCTCACATATCCAGTGCCTGTGACACCCTGGAACATCCATGATGTGCGGAAGTACGTGATGAACGGACCGGATGTCTATCCGGGGGCGAATTTCGTGGAGGATGAGCGCGGGAAGCTCCTCATTCCGCCCAATGACGCCGTTCGTCGTGAGGCGATGGCGAAACTGTTGACAACGCCGTCAGTTCATCACAGTCTGCAGGTCGTTCATCGGCATTTGCTGAACAATGACGTACTGCTGCTGAATCGCCAACCGACTCTCCATCGGCCCAGTATTATGGCGCACAAGGCGAGAATTCTGCGTGGCGAGAAGACCTTCCGCCTTCACTACTCCAACTGCAAATCCTACAATGCGGACTTTGACGGGGACGAGATGAATGCTCACTGTCCGCAGAACGAGATGGGCAGGAGTGAGGCGTACAATCTCGTGAATGTTCCCAATCAGTATCTCGTGCCAAAGGACGGAACACCTCTGGGAGGACTGATTCAGGATCACATCATCTCTGGCGTGCGTCTCACGATGAGAGGGAGATTCTTCACCAAGGAAGACTACTTCCAGCTCATCTTTCAGGGCCTGAATCGACAGCGAGGCGATCTAATCTTCCTGCCGCCGACAATACTCAAGCCCAAGATTCTCTGGAGTGGCAAGCAAGTGCTCTCGACCATTATCCTGAACATAATTCCGCGCGGAAAGGCACTTCTCAGCCTCACTTCCTCCTCCAAGATCAACTCCAAGGCCTGGGAGTGTGCGAAGCCGAGGACGTGGAAGGCGGGAGGAACACCACTCGAGGACAATTCGATGTCGGAGGCTGAGGTGATTATTCGCCAGGGCGAATTGCTCGTGGGAATCCTTGATAAGATGCACTACGGCTCGACGGCCTACAGCTTGATTCACTGCATGTACGAATTGTACGGTCCGGAACACTCCACACGACTCCTGAGCGCATTCGCCAGGCTTTTCACGTACTTCCTTCAATGGGAAGGCTTCACACTGGGGCCCAAGGACATCGTTGTCCTGCCCGAAGCTGACAAACAGAGAGCCAAGATCATCAAGGAGAGTCGCAAGATTGGCAACGCCACAGCAGCGACGGCGCTGCATCTGCCCGAAGACATTGGCGAGGAGGAGTTGAGGGAGAAGATGGATCAGGCATTCCACAGTGACCCAAAGTTCAGGGCCATCATGGATAGGCAGTTCAAGTCGGCGCTAGATCAGTTCAACAACAACATCAACAAGTGCTGCATCCCGACGGGACTCGTGAGTAAGTTTCCGGACAACAATCTGCAGCTGATGGTGCAGTCCGGAGCCAAGGGATCGGCCGTGAATGCCATGCAGATCTCCTGCTTGCTGGGCCAGATTGAGTTGGAGGGCAAACGACCGCCGCTGATGGTGTCTGGGAAGGCGTTGCCGAGCTTTCCCTTCTTCGAGACGTCACCCAAGGCGGGAGGATTCATCGATGGGCGCTTCTTGACGGGCATTCAGCCGCAGGACTTCTTCTTTCACTGCATGGCAGGTGAGATTGGAGATTGAAGTCGTCCTTGAGACGCTTCCTATAGTAATCATTGTCTTCTTTTTGTCTCCTTTGCAGGTCGAGAGGGTCTGATTGACACAGCTGTGAAGACAAGTCGCTCAGGATATCTGCAGAGGTGCTTGATAAAGCATTTGGAGGGTCTTAATGTGAATTACGACCAAACAGTTCGCGACAGTGACAATTCTGTTGTGCAATTCCTCTACGGTGAAGATGGCCTGGACATTGCCAAGAGTCAGTTCTTCAAGACGAAGATGCTGTCCTTCCTGGACGACAATGCGCAGATCATTGGAGACAAGAGGATCTTGTCGGAGGTGAAGAATGACGATGAGATGAGTGAGAAACTGCAGAAGTATGTGAAGAGTATCAAGTCGTGGGAGAAGAAGAACAAGGATGGCGCGGGAAAGAGGAGAGTCTCGCCATTCTTGAACTTCAGTGTGCAGCTGAAGGAGGCGCAGCCGGTGAAGAATGGCAATAAGGTGAAGAACGGCAGGCGCAGGGCGGACGAGAAGGCGTGTCGGAAGTGGCAAGCTATGACGGAGGAGGAGAGAATGGATTACGGTGGCAAGGCCACGGAGAGATGTCCTGATCCGATAGTGTCGAAGTTCCTGCCGGGCTCGTGCTTCGGCTCGGTGACTGAGACAATGCTGAAGCTGATCAGGGAGTACGGAAGGGAGAATCCGACGAGACGCAAGGAGTTCACGGAAGTGATGTATTTGAAGGCGATGCAGGCTGTGGCGCCGCCTGGGGAGCCTGTGGGCCTGCTGGCGGCGCAGTCTGTGGGGGAGCCGTCCACGCAGATGACGCTCAATACTTTCCACTTCGCCGGTCGTGGTGAGATGAATGTGACGCTGGGAATTCCACGTCTGCGGGAGATTCTCATGCTGGCGTCGAAGAACATCAAGACGCCGTCCATGGATATTCCCTTCAAGCCGCACGCGAAGCTGGAGTCCATGGCGGAGAAATTGAGGGTGAAGCTGGGCAGAGTGACGGTGGCCGATGTCCTGGAGTCCATCAATGTCCAGTCGCGTCTCGTGCTGCGACCGCAGAGAGTGTGGGAGTATCGGCTGATGTTCCGCTTCCTGCCGCGCGAGGCGTACAAGAATGACTACTGCGTGAAGCCGAAGCAGATTCTCAAGTACATGAGCAAGAGCTTCTTCAAGCTCATGTTCAGGGGCATCGTGAAGTTGTCGCAGATGAAGAACTCCGTGATTGACTTTGACGAGGAGAAGCCGAAGAAGTCGGCGCAGCGCGAGAAGGGTGACAATGAGATTGACGATGCAGAGCCGGAGGAGAAGACGACGGGCAAGAGCAATTCGGGTGAAGAGAGCACGGATGATGAGGGAATGGACGATGCTGATGCCACGGATGCGAACAGGAAGAATAAACAGGCTGATCAGAAGGACTACGATGAGCCGGACGATGAGGAGGAGAAGCAGGACGCCGATGCTGATGGTGAGTGCTGAGAGATTCAATGCCTCTGGTGTTTGCGACTAATCCCGGGTGTTTTTTCAGATCAGGAGATGAACGAGGAGGAGGAGAAGAAGCTGCTGGAAGGCAAGGAGGAGGAACTGCAGGAGGACGAAGAGGCGGCGACGGTGATCGAGAGCAATGAGTTCACCGAGGCGTACAGATACGACAAGGAGCATCACTTGTGGTGCGAGCTGGTCTTCCATCTGCCGGTCAAGTACAAATCCTTGGATTTGACGGCGATGCTGCGGGAAGTGGCGAAGAAGGCGGTGATCTGGCAAGTGCCCAACATCAATCGCGCCATCACGTACTTCCAGGGCGATCAGCTCATGCTAAAGACGCAGGGCATCAACATTGTGGAGATGTTTCAGTACAACAAACTGCTGGATCTCGATGGTTTGTACTCCAATGACATTCACGCCATCGCCCAGACTTATGGAATTGAAGCCGCCGGGCGGGTGATCGTGAAGGAGGTGCAGAATGTGTTCAAGGTCTACGGTATCACGGTGGATCCGCGCCACTTGTTCCTCATCTCTGATTACATGACCTTCAACGGGTCAATTTCTGCGCTGAGCCGCAAAGGCATGGAGAATTCCGCTTCGCCGCTGCAGCAGATGTCCTTCGAGTCGTGCATGCGCTTCCTCAAGGCCGCCACAGTGTCCGGATGCACGGACAGCCTGAGCTCTCCGTCCAGTCGCCTCATGGTCGGGCAGCCGTGCAAGAGTGGAACTGGAGCATTTTCTCTGCTCAACGACAACAGGATGTTCCTGAAGAACTTCACACGAAAGGCCGCGGAGCAAGTTTCCTACTGAAATCAGATTTCCTGCACAGCTTTGGAAGTGGGGGAATAAAGGAAAGAGGACATGAAGATACCTTTTTTTATTATTGGAGTTGCCAATTTTCTGGCACTCTCTGAAGACTCGAATTTATTTCATTTTATCACACAGAGATATTTTTCAACACATTTACAATGGACTTGTCTTAAAGGGATGCTTATCTTGTATAGTTTTACATGCATTTCATTATCAGCCGAGTTTACAAATTCAATTAGTAAAAAATAATTGTTTCACTTTCGACAAATGCGCTACAAAACTATAATATTGTTGCATTCTTATCAAGCTTGTAATGATATAAAAAATGATTCTCTCCTGTCTCTATTCTTATCTCCTAAGCTGGAGCTCAATTCTAAGTCTATACCTAGACTTAATTCTAATCCTACAATAGAGAGAGAGATTTGCATCAGTGTCTTTAGACTGTTTTGTACCAGAGAAAATGTGGGTGAAGGAGTAACAGCAAGTAAATTGATTATAGGGAATGATTAGAATAAGAGAGAGTTTTTTTTCTCAGTAAACTCCAAGGTAAACTCAAATGCTACAGTCTTAGAAGTGAGTTTGGAATGAAAAATTCAATGATGGGCTTAACTTTCAAATCCAAACCTGCGAAATATGGACGATTTTCCATCTGGAGTACTTGTCCTGGAGTATAATTCTGTTAACTAGTCCGCCTCTCCGTCCGCTGGCGATCCGCCTGACCAGCCCTCGAAGCCGGGATTCGGTGATCAAGTATACTTAACGAGTGCTGGGAGTGTGAGTCTGGCCAGGAGTCGTCTACAAACAGATGGTGTTGTTGAAAAGTGCGCTGCAGGTGCCGGGTGGATTCTTGGCGCGCTCCTTCCGGAACTCGTCGATCCAGTGCGCCGTGAGGTGCAGGTACTTGTGCGTCTTGCCACTGGCCGTGCTGTAATCCTTGAAGCCCACGCGCGACACGGCATCCTCGATCTGATCGCCGTGCGGCCAGTCGTTGTAGCTGGACACGCTGATCACGGGCACGCCCAGGCGGATGGCCGTGCGCCAGGCCACGCCGTAGTACTGCCCATTGCTGCGGTGCCTCTGGCGCATGGATCTCTTGCGCTCGGCGAAGCCCGGCGCCACGGAGGGGATGAAGAGCATGCGGTACTGCGTGGCGAACGCGTTCAGGTGCTGCCAGTGCTTCCAGGTTGAGGCGTAAGTGGCTCCGTTGCTGCCCAGGAGCGTGTAGAAGCCGTCAAATCCGGCGCGACGGGCGAGCGACGTGTGCTCCTTGGCGCTGATGTGGCCAATCAGGAGGGCGTCGCAGGAGCGCCTCATGGTGCGCCACTCGGTCCAGGGCAGCACGAAGGGCTCCTTGATGTAGAACATCGCCATTGGGCTGTTCCGGGGCGACACGTGGAAGCGGTGCAGGAAGTCGCTGAAGGTGTCGCAGAAGAAGCGAATATCCTTCTCCACGCTGTCCACACTGCGGCCGGGATACGTGTCGATGCTCACCGCCACGGTGAGATTGTTCTCCCGCGAAACGTTCATCAGCACGCGCAGAAGATTCACGCTGAACGCTGGCGTCCAGGAGATCACGAGCACACCAATACCAGCGCCCCGGATTTCCCGGCAGTGCTCCTGGAAGATCTCGCGCGACGGAGTGTATAGTCCGCGGGCGGGATAGAAGATTATGTTGGGCGTCTCTCGGCGGTCCCTGGAGGAATTTCTGCCGTCGCGGAACCACTTCACGGGCGCATAGTAGAAGATGTGAACGTGCCTCGTCAGCTCCGTGCCATTCTGTCCTGTCTCCTCGCGCGCCACTTCGTGATTGCGCGCCATCAGTCGCCGGATCTTCTCCTGCATCAGTCGCGTCCGCACGTTCGCCTCGTTGTACTTCTCCGGCACAATTGGGACGCGCTTTGCCTCCGTGGTCACACTTTTAGGTGTCACGAGACTCGTGATGGGAATGGGATTTATCTCAATCTTCGCCGTGCTCACGCTCTTCTCCTCCACGCGCGTCACGAAGATCACAATGCAGGTCACAATGATGCCCAGCGGCACCAGCTTCATCATCTTGGTGGCCTTAAAGAGCTTCAGGAAAGTCATTTTGGGGCAGACGAGGAAACACTGACCGTCGCGGGACTCCTTTTTCCGAGACTGAGAGATTCTGCGACAGAAAATTCTTGCGCATGATCCGTGGACCAGGCACTCAGCTCTCCATCCCCAACCCCGCGCGTGCATCGCTCCCGGGACGACTCCACGTGATTGTTGAGTTTTTGGCGGGAAGGCCACCAATTTTCGCAATTAATGGCTATTTAAATGCTCCTTTTAAAATTGCTATTTAAGCTTTATTGCAATTGATGGATGAGACTCCTTTGAGAGTCCTCCGGATGCCATTCATGTTGGTTGCACAGAAATGAAATTGAAAGGATAATGAACCGCTAATCCATTAGCCAGTTATCAGTTCAATGAGTGAAATCAGACGAAAACGCCGGTTCACACTCCATAGTCTGTTCCAGAAAGTCTTTCCAAAAGCCGCAGCATCCGAGCTTCAGCCAGGAAAACTTTTCGGAATCTTCCTGAAAGCCCACAAACGCACCTGAGTTATCTCCATTTGTATCAGACGACATCACTGAGTTCGATTTAATTGGTGTTCTAGTCATCTCGCTCCTCACACTGATTCCAATCTTCTGGCCACAACGCACACTGGAGCTCAAGATTTGGCGCCTGATCGAAGCCTTCGACTGCCAACAGCGCCTCTGAAGGCCAGCACTAATAGCTAAAGAGTGGGGATACCCGACTGAGGAACTCTCAGAGCAACTAATTATTTCCTTTGTGTTTAGTTTAGAGATATTCTCACTCTGTTCCAGCAATGGACAGAAAAAATATATAAATCCCAACTGATTGCATTCTGTAAGACGAGAAAATACAGAGCAGTTTGATGAGTTTGATGATTAACACAAAAGCTTTAGAAGCGAGCTTTCATCAACACCTTGCACACCGCTTACGCGCAGTCACATGATATCAGTAGCTGAACGCCGAGCCAGCTGGGCGAATGTCAAAATCGGAGTTTTTTGGGAAACAAATCTGCCCGTGAGTTGAATTGTACAGAAAAAAGCAGCAATTGTCGTGTGAAAGTGAGGGTGAAAGAGCCAGGAGGTGTTCCATGAGTCATCCTTGATGCCAGTGTGTGTGCACAAGTGTCTGTTCTCGCTCTCTGTCCGCAAATAGCACGAAGAAACAAGAGTGTTGTGAGTGCGAATGTCACTGTGGCTCCAATCTTTCCCCCAAAGTCAGGCGCAATTTCTCTTTTTCCGCCCCCGCAGGCCGCAGTGGCGCGCAGTCCGATGGATCTCGTGGACATCGACAAGGTGCTGGATGACTTTGAGCTGAGTGACGACCGGAGTGGCGCCGCGGGCAGCAATGGGGCGACGGAGGAGGAGCACTCCGGGAAGAGGGGCTTTAGCAAGCAGTTCGTCAACGTCTCCAGCGTCTTCTCCAGCCTCAATGACTACGTGGGTGTGGAGATTGCGGCCAATTCCTCGCCGGAGGCAGAGAAGCTGACCGAGTCCGCGGTGGAGGAGCTGAAGGTCAACGGGGAGACTGCCAGTGAGTCCGTGGAGGAGGAGACGCTGGAGCGCAGTTCAGAGATCGTGCTGTCGCTGACGACGACGTCCGACAGCTCGTCGGATCTGTCGAATCCGTCGATCAACACGACGGAACTGAGCGAGGACGGCCTGAGCCTGGAGCCGGGCGCCAAAGTGTCCAACATGTTGACACTGGAGTCCTCGTCAATCTGCATCGACAACGAGATCTCTTCCTCGATCTTGCCCAGTCGCAATTTCGGCACGAATCTCTCCACGCTGTCCAGGATCACAGAGACTGAGGACAACTCGGCGCTGGGCGGGAGCGATGAGATGCCGCAAGAGGAAGAGGAGGAGGAGGTGATAATTCCCCGTGAGACTCCTCAGCCGCCGGTGAATGTGCCCGTGGGTTTCGAGGAGACGATGGACGACGTGTCAGACACGGAGCTGGAGAGCTATCTGCAGGAGCTAGAGAATGAGTCCATTCGGGAGGCTGTGCCGGAGAAGGAGGATTCTCCGCGTGTGGATCAGCACGACAGTGTCTCTCAGGCATCCACAGTTGAGATCACGGACACGCGGAAGCGCATTGAGGTGGACTTTGACGAGGAATCCAACTCGAATTCATCCCTGTTGGAGGAGAAGGAGACTGAAGAGTTGGCCGATGAGCCTACAACGTGTACTCTGTCCACGTCTGAAGTGGAGGTGCATCAGAATGACGTGACTCTGGACGCGCTGGAGCCGGAGGCGCAGGCGGAGGCAGAAGTGGAGTTGAGACAGCAAAGTGAGGTGGAAGAAGAAGTGGTTGAAGCGGTGGAGGAGGCGCCGCAAGCGAAGCCCCAGCGTCCGGACTCTCTGGACTTGTCGATGGTGGCGAATGTGGGCTTCGCCGGGCAGACGCCAACACACTCGCAACCACCTGAGGGCGCCGTGGGTGGCGAAGAGGAGGAGACCATCACTGAGGCCTCCGCTCAAATGTCCACGTCCAGTTCGGATGACTTCATGCCCATGGCGCAGCCGCCGGCCGTGGAGAGTTCGGCCGAGCGGCGGCTGAGCACGTCCGGCCAGCAATTGGGCAAGGTGGCGCCCTATTGGGTGCCGGACAACGTCACGAACTTCTGCATGCAGTGCAACCTGAAGTTCTCCCTGATCAAGCGGCGGCACCACTGCCGCGCCTGCGGCCAGGTGCTCTGCTCCACGTGCTGCTCGCTAAAGGCGAAGCTGGAGTACCTCGGCGACGTGGAGGCGCGGATATGCATCCAGTGCGATGCGATAATGTCGCGCGAGGCCGCCGAGATGATCATGAACAACAACACCGGCTGTCTCGCGCGCTCGCCCAATCCCAACAACCCCATGGAGTACTGCTCCACCATTCCGCCGCACCAGCAAGTCTCGGGCACGCCGGCGGGCCCCATCGCCGTGATGGTGCCGGCGGGTGTGCTGAAGAAGGAAGGCGCGCCCAATCGTGGCCGGAAGGACAAGAATGTCATCTTCAGTGACGGCATTCGGCCGGGCTGTGATCTCACAGAATTGGACGGGGATGAGTCTGAGGGACGCTCCAGGCGCAACGGCAATTGGCGCGTGCAGACGCCGCCAGGACCCAGCAAACCACGCGCGACGCCGAACGTCAAGTTGCCAATCAAGGACAAAGTCACCGGCTCGTACATCCCGAAGGAGGAGAATCTCCTGCCGCCTGTTTACATCGCCACGAAGACGGACTTTCGCTTCGAGGACGTGGCGAACAATGCCAGTCTCATTGCCAGACTCAAGCAGGAGACCCTCAAGTTTGCCATTCACCGCAACTTTCACGTGCATCTGAAGATCATCGATCGTAAGTGTTCTTCACCACGCACAATTTCGTCCTTGAGCTTCCCAACCTGACATTTCGCTGCCTTTTTCCACAGTGTCCTGCTGCATGAATCGCACGGTGTTCAACTTCACCACGCACGGTCTGCGCTTCGTCGGCCAGGACGAGATGATCATCCTGCTGGAAGTGGACGAGTCTGAGCAGGTGCCAAAGGACATCTTTCTGCATCTGTGCGAGATCTACGCCGAGGCGGATCGCGGTCAGACCATCACGGAGCTGGGCTTCTCGCTGGCGTCGTCCAGCACGTTCTTGGGATCGCGCGAGCACGGCGGCTTTCTCTACATTCGTCCAACATTCCAGTGTCTTCAGGGCGTGTGCCTGCCGGAACCGCCCTACCTCATCGGCCTGCTAATCCACAAGTGGGAAGTGCCGTGGGCCAGGCTGTTCCCGCTGCGTCTGCAGCTACGCCTCGGCGCATACTATCGCTACTACCCCAGCCCGCACGTGTCCTTCCGCGGCAGGGAGAGCGTCTACACCGAGATCTCCGACACGATCATCAATTTCCTGGCGGTGAGTTGCTGTCATTTGCAGCCTTTAGTGATGTTTAAGCTGTCCACAATTCATGTCTTGATGTTCCAATGCTATTTCGGTGTAAAGAATTGCAAAATGTGGTGAAGATTCATGCTTGATAGAAGACATGAAGTGTTTAAGAATTACATTGTCTTTTTTCACGGTTGACTATCAATCCTTTGTGTTAAATGAGTTTGTTCTTCGGCATTGTTTTAAAGTTAGAAATGAAACAACAACGTAACATTTTTATAATATCATAGCTTAATTTCAATTATTACTCTGCTTGTGATTGTGGAATTAATGATGTCTTCTCTCGCAGGACTTTCGTACTTACTCCTACACGCTGTCCTCCATCCGCGGCCTGCTGATACACATGGAGGAGGGCCACACGACGGTGATGATACCGCGCAATCGGTACGATCAGGTGGTGAAGGCGATCAACAACTCCAGCGACAACATCCTGGCCATCGGCGGCAACTTCTCCCGCAAGGCCGACGGGCATCTGGTGTGCATTCAGAACACGGATGCCGACAGTGGCCAGCTGCACGCGTACTCCACGCAGGCCATCAACATCGAGGGCCACGCGCGCAACGTGACAGGCGCCAGCTTTCTGGTGCTGAACGGCGCGCTGAAGAGTACGAGCGGCCTCACGGGCAAATGCAGCATCGTGGAGGACGGGCTGATGGTGCAGATCCTGCCGGCGAAGATGGAGACGGTGCGGGCGGCGCTCAAGAACATGAAGGATGTGACAATCGTGTGCGGAGCAGTTGATGCTGAGCCCAGTCAGACGGAGAATGTCAATATTGTGTGGACGGACAATGATTTGGAGTTCAATGTTGGGTGAGTTGTTGTTTTTTTTCGCCCGATTTGGCGCTCGATTGCGAGCTTGTCTCGCGCTCGTGTGATTTATCAGCTATTTCTGCATAACATGCAACGCATGTGGAAGGAATTCTAATGTATTGATTTTGTCAAGCATATTTGTAGCATCTCGAACAGTTGATATTCTTCAGTGAATCCAATTATAGCGTAAAAATGTTCAATATTGATTACTTTCCTCCTCAATGCTTTCATTGATGACACATATTGTGAATTCTCAACGTATTTTCATGAACATTTGCTCTTATATTTCATCTCTTCTTTTCCACATGGTTGCATTTAAGAATTGTCTCGTACTTTTTCAGTGGGTGTTTTAGAGACAGAGAAATTCCTCTTAATTATTCTTTCTCGTACTTTATTAGTTAACTTCCATGGCAATTTAATGTTGCATCTTGAATTGGAATTAATTGAATCTTTTGTGAATGTGCTGAGAATTTGATGAAAAGTTTGTAAATGCGGTATTTTAATTAAATTCTTCCTTTCTCTCTTTCACATTTGAAGTGTTGTTTCGCCGATTGACAACAAGAAAATGGACGGAATTCCGAGTATTCGAGTGCACAAAGGACAGGATTTCTCCAGTAGTAATCACATAATTCGCTGGACGGAGGTTTTCATCCTCAAAGTGAGTGAAAACAAACAAAAAAGTCTCTTAGCAAATTAATTTTCAAAACTAACTTTCTGTGTGAAAACAATTCAGGTTGAAGACGATTCGTCGCATTCTTCTGTGAACATCCCAAAAGTGTCAGAACAGATTGCTCAAAGCACTGCAGTGGCTCTTGTTTCATTTCTCGATTTGCTGGCGGCCAATGGACTGCGGAGAATTGGACTGAGAACGACGCTGGATCAAGAGACGGTGAGTTTTTCTTCAAAGTTCAGCCGACGTGCATTTGATGCCTTTAAGACTTTCTTTCTTTGACTCTCGAATGACGCACCAAGAAAAGACTGTATTTTTCAAGGAAAATAGACTAATAGTGGTTGACAGGAAGCTAATGACAATGCCATGTTGTGCATAAGTTTGTAAGATGGTCAAAAGTTTCTTGTCACAAGGAGAATTGGAAAAGTTTGAAGATAGAAATTGAATGTCTAAGACAATCACAAAGACGTCTTTTGTTGGAAGTGATGAATTGAAGTATATATTTTGTGTCACTAAATTGAATATTCGTCTTGAGAACAATGCATTTTTGGTCCATCAAAACGTCATTTATCTTAATCCAGAATTCCAAACTTTAAAAGCACTCAAGCGTATAAGCTTTGATACTTTATTTACTTCTATCTCTTCAGTTTTTTCTCGCGAAGCTTTGTTTATTTTTTTTTTGACTCAATTTAATACTAGAAAAGATGAGATGATTTGTGGAGATAACAGAAATGCCACACCGATTATGAACTTTGTGACATTAATAGAGTTGAAGAGAAATTCCTGCTGAAAGACTGCAACTCGACGGTGTTTGCGGACGTAATTAAATACTGTCGAGTTTGAGATGAGAAACTACTTGAAGAATTTAATCTTCATGGCTTCTTTTCACAAGTTGAGAATGTCGCAAGCAATTATCTTTTCATGAAGAAGTGCGCTTTTGCCAAGTAATCAAGACGTAATACAAATTGAATCTCTTATTGTCCTTGCAGGTCTGCTACGAAGCGGGAAGTCATCAGCAGAAGCTGCCGCCGCTTTACATGGACGTCCTGGATAATGAGCTTATTCCCACATTGCATAGACAAGTGACGAATCTGCAGATTGACAATCCCATCATTGTCGAGCTGATCTTTGACATTCTAGACAAGTGATTTCCGCATGATATCAATTGAGGCGCCGGGTTGGATGCTCAGTGTGCAATTAGAAGGAATCGTGGGTCGCTACTTTCCCAATTTTGCAAAGAGTTAACACACGGTGAAAGTATCGACGATGCGGTGCGATTTGCAAGGGTCGCACGTTAAAATCGTAGGAGTAAAACGTGAATTTAAGGGTAGGAGAGAAGAGAGGAGAACAATTTGTATGACTTTGTATATAAATGAAACATGAATTATTGATATGTTGTGTAAGATTGTTATATTGGATGAGAAATGGAATGGAGGAGAGCATTTTATGGATGAATAAAAGTAGAGTTTCTCATGAAATAAAACAGTTGTGGTTTTTTTTTTCAATGTTCAACACTTTGTATATTTTGCAATATATATGTATATATAAGAAAATAATATACAAAAAAGGTGTATAGGTACAATTCTTGTTTGATTTCAATCAATTTTTCGGGTAGAAATTCACACTTTCGTGTTGCAATTCAGAATTTCCCCCATTAAAATATACACTTTTTTTTCTCTTTAAATACCCTCTAAACAGTCGAATGGAAGTTTTCATTTTATACAAAAAAAAACAATGATAAATCACTAACTAAAGAAAAGTTGCCTCTTAAGTACTCATTTAATTTCATCTTCAATATTCATGCTTAATGGAATAATGCTAAACACCGGGCAAGACTCTGAATGGTTGCTCTCAATATTCTTCTTTCTACTGACATCAATGGAAATATATGTATGTATATATTATATAACACTTATGCAACATGCAAGGGAATGTGATGATTTCATTCTATGTGGAAAATAAATATATTACTCTCTTTAAATTACATCCTCTTCAAAGAGCTAATAAGATAATACTTTGTGTGATAATTTCTGTGATGCTTAAATTTTTACTAATTCTGTGCTTCTCAACCATCATTCAAATTTCATTTTTCTCTTAATACACTTTTCCCCGTCACGCGTTGGAAGAAAAAGGAACAAAAAGACACTGATATGTATCAATCTCACAAATTTACATTCATAGTAAAAATTATATGTATATAAGAGTCTCTCTCTCGAGGAAAATCAGATACAATTTGCGCAGAGTTGAAGGTGGGAAAATGAGCACGAAGTGTGCTTTTCCTCGGTTCAACACAATTCCAAAAAGTTCACTTCTGTGCCACTTTCTCTCTCTCTCTCTCTCCAATATTGCTCAATTTTCCGTGCAAAATTCGCATTTCAAACGAAAATCTCTCACTTTTACACCAAAACATCTCCTTAAGACATTATATTTCTTCACCTATCTAAATAGCATGGAAATTGCCTTATCTTTCTCACAGTATTTACAAAGAAAATAGCAGTTGAAGAAGGCAGAGAGTACAATACAAAAATAAAGAGATAAGAAAGTCTCTTCGCGGTTACGTTGCAAATAAAAATAAACACACTGAGAGAAATATATAATTAATGCAAATAATCTGAAGAACTTATTGATATTACAGGAAATCTCTTCTTCTTCTTCTTTTGCTCACCCAAAAATTTATCTCGTCCGTCAAAAACCCTCTGGCGACTTTTATAGTACGTCAAGTGTGAAATGAATTCCACTCTCAAGAGAGAATACTCGAAAATGTCTTGCAGCATTTTCCTCAGAAAAGTCGCAATGCTTGAGGAGAAGGAAACTTTCTGTGATTGCATCTCTTGACATACAATTTCTACATCTCCAGTGAATCAAGGAGAATAATCCTTCATTCCGATGGGAATTCCCGACAATTCACATGATTGCAGGATGTTTGTATAAGAAAAGGAATTGCAGAATTAATTATCCAATATTTACATTGAATTATAAGAGGAAAAAGAAAAAAATTAGCAGGCAAAAGTCAACAAATGATTTTTACGTGATTCAAAAGTACAACAAATTTTGTCATTTGATTATTTCAAAATAAGTGATAATTATTCAGAAAAGGAACATACATTTTATCAAACAAAATGGGGCGAAATTCAGAAATTCTTCGAGTGAAAAACATCTCAAGAGGTACTTTAGGATCCTCACAGTTCTTGCGCTTCAACACAAAATGTTAAGGAAAGGATCTCAAGTCGCCATTGGGCGTGGCAAACGAATGGGCGTGGCTTTAATCAATCACTAACTCAACTGATTTCTCTCAATGCCCGCGAAGAAGCTCACCAAATTCGGCCGCTTCACATCTACATAATGACGCAGCACTTCCTGGAGCGCGTGCTGTCGCTCACGACGTCGCCAGTGATGCCACTGAACTTTGCCGGCGTGCTCTGGAGGCTGGGCGACGACACGAGGGATAGCTCGAGGGCGGGCGAGCTGGCGCCGCCCGGTGCGCCACCCGTGAGACTCTGTGTGGTGAGAATGGAGCCATTCTCCGGACTGTTGCTGCTCCTCGACTGTGCGCGATGCTTCTTCAGGTCCGCCAAAGTCCCTGCGATGGAGTGATCTACAGTGTGAGCATCTTTAGATTCGCATTTTCACGAGTGGTTTGTTTTTGGTTATTTTCAGGTATTTTTTGTGTTTGTTTTGCGGTTCACCAACAATGTCAGGGAGTCACAAGCATTTGGAGAGTGCAAGAGAGAGAGAGAGAGAGGAAAAAAGTCAAATCATGCACAATTATTATCATTAAATTTACATATAAAAAACATTTTATATGGTTTTATCATAACGATGGAAATATTGCTATCGAAGAGGTAAAAATTACAGCTTGTTTACAAACGAGCACATCATCAATCATTTTTCCTCGCGGCGGTAATTTGTGTGCAAGCGAAAAGCTCTTTAGTAATATTGACAGTGAATCCTGATAAATATTTTCCAACACTTCCCAATATGTCGAGTCAAAAATTCAATGCAGAGCTCAATTTACTCTATTTATAGTCATATATATGAAGTCCTTTTATGATTGTCCAGTCCTGAATTGAGCGCCCATAAAACACACACTCACTGCCAATATTTGCAAAATCCCATGTAATCCCGAAGCAATAAAACTGGATTTATCGACTATCAGTCGTTAAGCAATGATTTATCACACTAAGGAAAAAAAACTCTTCAACGAGTCAATTGAAACTTTAAACGCTTTAAATGGACACAACAATCTCCACTAGGGAGAGACAGAGAGGAAAGTCATCAAATGGATGTGTTTCCGCATCTCTCACCGGACAATCGAGCCATCGCACAAAAGTGCTCCTCATTTCTCCAATCCCTTTTCGATAGCAATTGTGATGGTCCTTCGCACGGGGGCGCGATTATGGCGACATGGAGTGTGAGTTGCGACACAGAATTGATGACAGGATACTCACCGAACAGCACTGTGACTTGCACGTTAATCTTCCCATTCTCATTGCTGGCCGTGTAAATCTCCGTGGCCGCCAAGTCAGCCGAACTGGCGGCGCTGTTGCGCTGAGACACGAGTGCATTGTTGTTCACCACCTTCTTGCCATCCTCCGCCATGTACTGCAGGCTGCCCATCTCGTTGTCCTTGCCCTCCGGCGAGCGCCGGTTGTGCGATGCCGTCGGCGAGCCGTCCACGTGATTGGGATTCGTGCTGATGGACGATTGCGTGGCACCGTATGCCAAATTGCTCTGTGGATATCGAGTATTGTTGTTAATGGCGCCCGGCGTTGCGCCATTCTGCTGGACGCTGCCGTTGTTGTTGGCGCTGTGGTGGCAGTTGTTCGGCCGCATGGACGGCGGAGCTGAAGACTCTGAGGCCAGAGACAGAGGCTCTGGCGTGCCATCGGTTGTTGTGTAGCCCTGAAACGGCGAGAAAAGACCACCTTTTTAAAGACTCTTGCTACCTTCGCTTGCAAATAGTGCTCTGAACCTCTGGTTTTCTTGCATGAATTCTCTAAACAAGAAAATGTAGTTAGCAAAACAGAAGAAGTAATTTCGTAGCATGAATTAAAAGTATTTATTTATTATCTTCTTACGAACTTCAGGACGTTTTATCAATGCAATGCTCTGTATAGAATTGTTTGCTAACATTGCATCTTATCCAGTCTTAAGCTCTCAATCAACATAATAACTATGATATATATTAGCAAAGTCCTTCAGCATATTCCGTCTCAATTCAGAGAGCTTAAGGTAAAGTGTTTACAATCGAGTGATTATATTGATACTGATTCCATACTAAATCAAAGACGGTAAATCTCTCATAATTGTTGGAAGGGGGAAATTGATGGTTTGCTGTGCATTTCATGCACCCTTGCATTTCATGCACATATTCACCGATTACAAGCCCGAAGTCCTGAATGTATATTTACAAAATTGCTCAGGGCTTCAGAATATGATGGTTCATAAATGAATTGCAAAGGCGTCCCAAAGCAATCACTCCCATTCCATGGCACGAAGCGAAGGACAACGGGTGGAAAATCGATGCCTAATTCATGACAGACTGTTGTGGTCACAAGTAATTTCTCGGCGTCAAATCTCAACGCAATTTATATACTCTCTCAAGAGAGAGAGAATATATTTTGGCAATTGATTAATTTTCTCAGCATTTCACTGCGACCCCACAAATTTCCGCACAGCGACTGTTAAAAACACTTTTGGCAATTAAAATCCAATTAAAATTCCTCAAAGAAACCCCAAAATGAACCAGCTATAAGATAAAGTTGTTTGTCCCTTAATGGAATTGATATAAGACGATACACTGTAATTAGGGAGTATCGTTAGGGAATGTAAGATTAGTGCTGGGAAAAAAAAGATAACTCCTCAGACGAGGGTGGAAAATGGCACAGTCAGCATCATTAAATAGGAGATTATTGTATCTATTAAAGGACATGAACAAGACAACATTGAAGAGATTCTCACCTTGTACTTTAAGCCAACAATATTGCAACTATCAATATCACTGCACTTCTGCACAAAGAACATCCTCATAATGAACTCTGTCTATCGTATGTGTGGAAAACTCAACTAATGATTCATTTCACAACTCGTCTTCAGCGCACAAAGTGAAAATGCACTGAAATCAGGAACAGACGAGCTTCCCAAAGTGCTGAGATAGTGGAAAAAAAACACACTCACTCTTCCCTCTTTGCACGAAAGTACATAGGTAATATAATTTACTTTGAGCGGAATTGCATTTTGTGTGTGCAGACAAAAAGCCTTATATGTTATTGATTGGGGAATTTCAGGCCCAAAACTCTTGTCTTTCACTTGACTATTTGGGCATGTGTAAATATATTTACACAGCATTGACTCGTGAGCATTGAAGGTGGTAGAATAAATAGCAAATCAAATAGTGTGTAAACAGGAAATTTACGCATCAACTGCGTCAGAGTTTCACAAGTTCTCATTGGTCATATTTATGCCCATCGGAGGAAATTCAACAACACAAAATCTATTGATTAGGGAAGGAAATGCAACACATTTATGTGCTATACTTCAAAACCAACACATAAATGTCGATGCAAGTGGAGAATCTCCACTTTTCACCGAGACTCCCAATCGATTTTCCTTCCTTTCTTCATTTCTCTCTCCTTTTTTTTCCTCATATCAATGCATCGCTCTCGTCCGGTTTTGATTAGATTGTGATTGAAATTTTGCAGCGGAGATTGACAATTTCTTCAAATTCGTCTCTCACTTCGTAGATAAGAACATCCGCAGAAAGGATAGTGATTCAATTGAATTATTTGATACAGTTTAACGCTTGCACATCGAATTGTCTTCATAAGAGATCAAAATTTTTGCTTCATCCAGAAAATAGAGAAATTTCAAGCAATTTAAGACAACAGAATTTCTGTGTTTGACTTTTTTTTGATTTGAATCAGGTTCAAAGCAAACGATTTGGATGAAATTGCATTGTCAAATTTTGCGTTCAAACACAATTTTTAGCTCAAAATGATCATAAAAGATCAATCATAAATTCATGTACAAAGTTTAGCTATTCAAACTTTACAGAATTTTCTCTTCAAAGACTTTTGAGAATTCACTGAATTGCAAAATTATTTCTTCAAACCCATTCCACAAGATGTGATACTTTAGTCAGTGCAGTGTAACTGATAGAAAATTGACGAGAGGAAATGTTTCGACATGTCTTTCACCTGTTGAAACATGCTGAGAAAAATCCTTCGTACGCAAGGTTCAATAAGGACAAAATTCATCAAATATTTCATCTACAAGTCGTGCAGGAATTCTCTCGTGTCTCTTGCACGTGATAGCTAAGAAATTCCCGTCTCTGTCAATCGCAACTGGGATTTCTGTCTCTTCCTTCCCATCACGTTCATTCCCACAATGAGAATTCCTTGCACGACAGGAAATCCTTCTCCGAAAATTCTTCACTCAAATATTCTCCTCCTCATCATTAGCTATAATTGGCTTTTCGAGCGCAAAAATTCAATTTAAACGTCACTGAAATATATCTTTTCAAGGAAAACAATGAACGACATTTAATATGAAAAAATGGTATTTTTTTGCCATGAGAAATCTTGCCTAATACACAATTAATGAAAATATCTTCTTCTCTTATCCTCCACAATATTGCAAGAAAATCTCTTCTATCCACACAATCACCAGCCAAACACTTTATTCCAGCGAATTCACAGCGAGAAAAAGCTCCTTATTTTCACTCTGATGAAAGGAAAAGTGAAAAATTCCGCGTGATCAATCGCTCACCACACGCAGTTTGAGACTGACATGAAAGACTCTCCAGGTGGAAACCACACACTATAAAAATTCATTTCCGTTTACATTTTCGTCCATGCGTTCCATCTATGCTTCGCGCCCTCCCCAATCGAATCTCTCTCCACTTGCCGCCAACAATTATTAAATTTTTGTGAAAATCATGCAACCACAAGGCCATTGCATCGCTGCACGATGGACAAGACGACAAATTATATTGCTGAGAGTGCCAATTGGGGCAAAACATCAATTGCACCATCTGCTAATTTGCCAGCAAACACACCAAATGATTTCACTCCCAATCATATTTCTCTGTGGCTTTAATATTAGAGTAATAAATTGAAATTAGAAAATTAAGTGAGAGTGTCTGCAAATAATATTTAACATTAAATTTTCATACACAAGCATCACACCTCTCTTTCACATTCATAATCTGATTACCAAGTCGTGGGGAGCTTTTTGACTCCAGTACAAAGTTAGAAGTGAAAAGCTTCTTTGAGACTTTGAACAGAAGGATGGCATTATAAATTAATTTTGAGGTTTCTCAGAATGAAAATCATCAGACTTTGTGTCATCCAATAAATGTAGTTTCTGAATATCCAAGCACACTTTGGTTATTACGGTTTTGCTTAATGCCAGAAGAAAATTATTATGAGATTTTACAGGAAAATGAGTAATTTTTGACATCTGGATTGGTTTACGAAGTACAGAGTCGATAAATAGTGAAAAAAAACATAGTAAAATTCACTGTTTAGACGATTTTAACGTATCAATCTCATACAGAATTCCTCACTTCAAAGAGACCCACTCTCCCCTACAATTACTCTCAAATTCAGACTCAATCCACACTCACCTCTTGAGCTTGCAATCGCAATCGCGCCTCCTCCACTGCGTCCTTCTTTGTCGTCAATGTCTTGTCTCTCAGTGATGTGCGACGAACGGATTGTGCCCTGGAAATGTGAAGGCAGAACCATTTTATTTTGCTGATTCCTTTTTCCCAGCATCAAATATATCATTTCACTCCTACGCAGTTGTGTTCCCAATTGAGGATTTGCATATTTGTGCTTTAAAGCCCGAAAGAAATAGCGTAATCACCTTTTGCTTAAGCCCACTCGTTAAGGGAGGAGTTGGAAGAAAAAAAACACACAGCCAGAGGATAAATCTTATGGATAACCGAGAGAAATCTCAAGTATGATTCGAGTAACGAAAGCACTCAGAATAAATTTACAAGGGATGATTTTTTATGACTGTCAAAGTGCCAATATCATCAAGATGAGCAATAAATATCCATAATTGGATTTTCTAATGACAGACTCTTCACGACGGGGAAAATTAGTGGTAAATATTTAAAATATTATCACCAATTTCACGCAAATGCGCCAAAGAGATTGACTTTCTATTTGCACATCCGTCAAAAGCGCCTCTTGTGTGCGGTGTTCTTTGTGAAGCACCCAGAGAAAAGAAATATCACGAAAGCCTCTCAAGTCTTCACCCATTTTCCCACCCTCAGGCGGATTATCATCCATCTGAATGACACAGAACATACTGCTCAAGTCTGTCTCTCTACCCTTTCACGCCTCGAGATTAATGCTCACACTCTTGCTAAACTTAAATACTTCCACAGGAAATCCGCCAGCGCTCGTGTGTGTGTGTGTGTGTTCTGTGTATTTAATAGCAAAGCACCTTTTGTACCTTGTATTGTTACTTTGGGATCGTTTCACTCGACGTTTCTGCGCCTCCGCCAATCTCTTGCTCTCCTGTTCCGTCTTTAATTGTTCAATTCTCTCTCTTATTTCTGCATCTTCGCAAATATCTTTTTGTCACGAAGAAAGAAAGGGAAAAGCATTAGTATTTCCGTCACCATGGGCTTTTCTTCCACACTCACCTGATGGTGTCTCATCATTCCTATTTTTGGCAAACAAATCAGCTCCCGCCTGTGCCAGCATTTCCAGCACTTCCAGCTGCAAAAAGCACCACAAAATCAATCCCTCACAGATGCTTATGAGTGTGGCTTATGAACTCACGTGTCCCCAGCACGCTGCAGCATGCACAGGCGTCCACAAATCATTGTCCACCGCATCGACAAGAACGTGTTGGTCCAGCAGGAACTCCACTACGCGCCCGTATCCATTCGCCGATGCAATGTGCAGCGGTGTGGCACCCTGATTGTCCGGCCACTCCAGGTCGCCGCCCATCATGGCCATCTCCTCGAGGTCGCTCAGCATCACCATCTCCGTGCCCGCGCGCGTCTCATCTATCAACTCCTGTGTGACGCCGCGCCGCGACATCTCAGCCTCTATGCAGTCCAGTGTCTCCTCGTCATCACAGAGATCGTATGGCATGTTGCCGTCCGCATTCACCGCCAGCAGATTCGCACCGCGACTTATCAGGAACTTCACCAGGCTCAGGTGGCCACATGTGGCGGCGGCATGAAGTGGCGTCCACTTCTCGCTGTCCTGGGCATTCACATTGGCGCCATAGTCGAGCAGTAGTCGCAGCATGTCCGCATTGTTGTCAATACAGCACTGATGCAGAGCCGTGAGTCCATCCTCGTTGGTTGCGTCCGGCGTCACGCCCTTCTGCAGCAATTTCGCCACCTAGCAAACATCAAACAGACTTCATTAGCACACTATGAACAAAAGCACAAACAACCCTCAGGCTTTTGTGAGCAATCTCCGTGCATTTGCATGACAAAACCTGCACTTCTCAGCACTCACTTCATGCGGGAATTATCAGCGGATTTTGACACAGACAAAATTGATGATTTTGATAAGATTCACCAAGAAAGGACTCCCAAAGTGGCATTCAAATTTTAATTAATCCATGATGAGCGATTTCTAATAATTATATGAGAGTTTAAGCAGTTTAGATAGTGTGAAATATCTACATTTGTTAAATTTTGTCCCTCTTATTGATAAGCTCAAGCCAATAACTTCAATTGAAATGTTCATTTTCTCATCTTTCTTTCATCCATTTCACCTTCCTCTAATTCACTCAAGATCTAATGTGATCAAATTTAAAATAAAGATCGAACTTTAAATGGAATGAACAATCTCAAATATTTAAGCAGAGATTTAGTGTCAATTTTGAGACATTCCAATTAAAACTTAATTAATCATTTCTCCTTTGTAAATCACTGCATATTATTGTTGTCTCGCTAAACTATCAGTAAAATCAAATTTTATATTTAATCCTTCACTCCGTTACTGAACAGTATGATGTGGAATATATAATTTTATTTGTTTTCCTGAAATAACTCTGCAAAGCATCACATTTGAGAGATTTACAGTGTTCTCGGTGACAAACTTTTCACCGCAATTTCATGTCAGAAAAGGACATCACCCCTATAATCTATATTAATCCCACGATGTAGTTTAGCACCCAAGGATACAGAAATGGCGGCAAAATTCCAACTAAAACTCATTTGTGTACACCAAGAGCGACTCTTGATGTGTGAATGTTGAGGATAAGGGTAATAAGTATCTCATTATATGCATGAGAGTCCTGAACTTGTCTCTCACACGGTTTTATTAGCTTTCCAGCCACTGCAATGTTTGTCAAACATTATATAGCATAGCAAATAGTTAATGTTCACATAAGAGAGAAGAAAAAAAAGTTGTGCAATATTTCTCTTGGCTGAAAAATTGCACACATTTCTCCAGCTAAGGTACACACAGAGAGTTGGATTTTCATCTGTAAACGGCTTTCCGAGGGGGTTGATTAATGGAAAATGTGTGTAATGTATTCAAATTTATTTAAACCCACCCATTTTCACCGCTTTTTCGCCCTTTTGACCCTCATTTCCATGTTTAATTTGTGGCCATGTCGGCTGACTAATTTTTTTCCCACCTCTGCAAATCACACCTCTTCACCTGTTTTTTTTTCATCCATGTGCTGCAGCCGCGTGAGATTTGTCCGCGTCGGCGGAGGGATTTTCTTTTTTCTTCCTTTCAATCATTTCTCATACAGAAAAGATTGAAAGCCTCGAGGTGAAAGCGCTTCTCCCTTAATAGATTTCACCCCATGATCGATTGAACCTCACCTCGACAATGTCATTCCTGGCGGCAGCCTCAAGCAGCATAACACTGTTCTCGAACTCAATGTGTCTCTTCTTTCGGCAGCTCACGCTGGAGTTCCGATCGCGGCGATTCTGGGACTTTTGCCACTCCTTCTCCTTCTGTTTGGCCACTTTCAGCTGCTGTGCGCGTCGCCTGGGACAGCGAAAAAAATAAGGAAGGGTGCCCATTAATTACCAGCGTACAAAACAACCTGCTCATTTGCGTGTCTCTGTCGATATCGACTGGAAGTTGGGCAATTTGTCAGGAAGTTTCCTCACACACTCTTTCAACGCCACATTGACTGGCGATAAATGATATGCTCTTGTAAATTAAACTATACTAGTTGAGGGAAATTTTCTTCTTTTAAACGACCCGCGCGGAGAATCCATTGAGTAAATGAAGCAAGACATAATTGTTATGCGCTATTTCCACCAACAATGTGAAAATCCGCCGTGACTTTGCCATTTACTGTGGCTTTCTTCTTTTTCCCAACTTTTATCATCTCTCTTTCTCTCTTTCCCTCTCTCGTCTCTTTATAATCAAATTGTACACCATCAAATGCTAATGATGAGGAAATTTATTTGATACACTCACTTTTTTCTTCAACCAGCAAAAATTGCTCAACGCTAAATCTTCCACTGTTACCCATTCTCGATATACACGATAGGATTAATTAGACTTTGAGGAACAATATACCAATTAATGTCTCTGACAATTCCCACACATTAATAATTGTCTCAATATCTCTTCTTCCCGTTGCTTTTCCCCTTTCACACCCACTTCACTTCCCACTTTACGCATTGCCACAGCTTGTCTCCCGCTTTATCTACACTTCTTCACTCCCTTTTTCAACTGTCAAGACATGTGCCACTTTTTATCGAAGTCTTTAAGAACAGTTTTTACCATTGTGCAGAGTTGATCGTGACTTGTTCGTAAGTTTTTCACAGGGAAATCATCGTAAATTTACTGAAAATAGTCCTAACTTGGATAAAGCAGAGAAGATACTCAAAAACTCTTCCCTAAAAGTTATTTCAGTTTCTTGTATTGCTTAAAAAAAATGACTTATAAACTTGAACGGAGTGAAAACATTTTTTAAAGAATTCACAACAACAAAAAAAACTCCTGATTTACATATGTTAAGTTGTTTACATTTCTTTCTCCAACAAAGCACACTCACACACTAAATTTAATAACAAGATAAATTGTTGGACAAATCTTTAATAAAAACAAATCTTCTCTCACATTTTTTCTTATCCTCAACTCATCATGCTGAGCTTTGAGGAAAATCTTGCAGAGAAGGAAGAATCGATTGAATGAAGGGCGTGTATAAAAAATAAATTATATTTGCAATAAAAATTCTGATTGAGTTTCCCCTATAAATATATAACATCCATAATACTCATGAAGATCCCACAATTTCCCTCCCCTCATCTCTGTCCATCGCAAAATCCGAAATAAGATTTTAAATTCCACACCGTTTGCCATGCAACAACACGGAATGAGATTTAGTTATATGCCAAATCGATAATCCGCCACCTTCTCATCATCAGATAAATAAACACCATGGCTAAATTCGTGCCTCAGCACATCCGATTCAATTGAGATTCGCCACCCCGGCCTTTTTTGCCTCAGCTGAGTGGGTGTAGGGTTAAAATAAGGCGCGCTCTGCTGTGGGTGCGAGTCAACCCACAAATTCTCAACAATACATACACACACCCGCCCTTTGAGTGCTCCTGAATGGGCCTGCGATAAAATTCAATGAACTCACATTCGTGCCAACTGGAGACGGTCCTGTGTCGAGAGATGCTCCACTTGAGCCATTTCCGCGACAAGATCTGCATGCTCCATTTCGCCTCTTTTATCTCGTCCTCCCGCACTTGGCGCGCCCCCGAAAATGCTGGAAAAGTCAGTCTCTTGCGGCGGAAAAAATCACCTCGCGCGCTGTACAGCTTTCTGCAATGACAAAGAATATAGAATATAATTAATTGTCTGCTCGAGACAGTGATATTTTTGCATGAATAATGACATGGTGGAAAGTTGCTTCGAAATAGAGTTGTTGTCGCTCCTTTTCATTACTCATTCACTGTCTCTGTGCAGCCCCAAAAATTACACTGACTGTCGACAAACGCGACTAACTTAACTTTTTCCCCACAACATTTTTCACCTCTTCTCTAACATTTGTTGCCATGGAAAGTTTTCTCGTTAGAATTTCTCCTAAAATTCAATTATAAATTAAAAACTTCCTGTCGGTTTACTTTATAATTGCACTGAAATGTCTATTAGTATTTTTTTTTATTAAATAAATTTCAAGCAGAAATTTTAATTAAAAATTTGGTGACATTTTTTATTGCAATTATTGGTCGCAGAGAACATCAAATTGGAAGAATGTAAATAATGTATACATTAATTAAAACATCCAAAATAAATTTCACAATATTATAGTTAATTTAGCATATTTATAAGCTGTAATAGAAACACAATTAACATATTTAATCATAGCATACGAATGGATTATAAGGATTGTTCCATTTCCGCAAAATATATCACGGATTAAATATATTTCCAATTATTTTCTACTACACAAATAAACCATATTAGTGGAAAAGTTCTCCCGCACAGTGTACAAATAAATTTTTCAACGCATAAACCTGAGTAAAACGAGAAATACTGTGTATGATTGAAAACATGCCCCAAAGGAGTTGAATGGATGCGAAAATTGGAAATATGCACTGCATTTCTCGTAACTTTTCTATTCTACTAGAAAAATATCTGTTGTTGAAGGCAGAATAAAAAACAACATTTCCCATGAGAAAAAAAAGTAGTAGAAATTCATATGAAAATTCAATATTGCCTGCATCAGAATTAAGCATACCTAAAAGCTTTGCAATTTTGCATCGCACTCAACAGAGATTATAACAGAGATTAAACTTTAATTTTCCATTTTACCCTTTCGATTTATTCGGTCTGGAAATTTATTTATTTTTTTTGATATAATGAACACAAAAAGCCCAGAAGTTTTAATCCACCCTCGTCGTCACACAACATCTATTCTTTCCACTTGGCCAATTCAGTGGCATGTCTGGCAAGGAATTGGGGTGAAATTAACAAGTTTCTTGTGCGAAAACATCCAGGAAACATCAGTTTTGCGACATGTGAAGAGCGAAGAAAAATCGATACTTATTAAAACTATTTCCTTACTTCAATGACACACACTAAAAAAAAATTCAACAAACTAAGCACAAAAAGTTGATAATTTATTAGGAAAATCCGTGAATAAAACTTTTGAGCAAAGAAATTCTATTTCATAACTTTATTATCGACTGAATGATTTATATTTGACATTTATAAGAAAAAAAAAGCGCTGAGAATAAGACGCATTTTATAAGGCTGGTGGAAGCGAAAGCTACACATCAATTTATGCATGTATTGATATGGATATATTCATCAAATCACAAATTGTACTACTTTTCCTTCAGAATGCCACAAAACCTCTCTGCAAAATACGATAGAATGCCCGGAAGTCTTTGTTCTATCTTGGGAAATTGAGTGGGAAATCAACCCCTTCCAATTACCATACACAGAGTGAAATGTATATGCCAGAATTGTTACAAGTTTCTGAATATTGATTTAATTAAAATTCACCCAATTTAGCTACAAGATTGTTTTCACAGAAATAGCCTTTCACTACACTATTCGTAAATCTTGTATCAATACTTTGTTATTCTGTATATTTATTCTATTCTTGTCCAGAACAACTAACTTCTTCTACCCATCTTTTTCCTATCCGTGTTAGGGGAAGAGTTTTCATCGGCAAAGGTGGAAGAATCTTGATTGTCGAGGCAATTTTCTCCAATGTGTTTCACTCCCCAGCAATTTATTCACTCTTTTGCATGTTACGTGCATGTTAATCATGCCATTTTGGGTCACAGGTCGTTCACACACAAACACACACATACACACAAATTTCACCCTCTGCTTCACTTTACACTCCTCTTCAATTTTCGTGGAATGCATCAAAGTGCAAAAAAATTTTGATGCAATTCTAAATATAAATAAATCGCAATCAATAAATAAAGTGCAAAGACAAAAAAGAAAGTTTTACTCTTTTTTTTTGGCATTCCACATTCTCCCATTTGGCACTTGATTTGGAAACTGTGACTATGGAATTTGATTCACATTTGATATGGGAAGTTTCACATTATTCATGTTTATGACAAAAAATATCAGTGTCATTAAAGTGAAATGTTCACAAATAATACATAGATGACAGAAGTGGGACCCAGAAAAAAAAAAAAAACGTTTTCACATAGAAGATATGAAACACATTTCAAGCCGATAACCACAATTCAACATTCCTTTTGATAGTCACTGAAGCACCGAAAATGCTCTCTTTCTCTCTCTCTACTGTTTTCCACAACTCTCATATCAACACCCATCAAATACCGATCTAAAAGTGCGACAAAGTCAACCCAGAACACCTTCACATGCTAAATGGTGAACAATTACGCTATGTTTGGCAAATTAAAGGCTCACCAAGAGAGAATGATTTTCATCTAATTTCATCCACACGACAAATTAATTCTAGCCGCTGTGTTAATTGTGCAATGCTGAAGTTTAATCACCTTGACTTTCCACCCTGAGAGTGCGGCTGTGAAAATTCACAGGTCTTGTAAACACACTCCATCAGCTAATCTCTATCACAATTAATATGTCACTAATAATTTTTCACCATCTTATCAAACAACACCATAAGTATATCACGTAATGCTTTCAATGGGTTATGCTTCTTTTTTTTCGCTTTCACAATACATACTGTGATATCTCTCGACCATGAAGTTATTTCTTCATTGACTCAGAAAAAAAGGCACATAAAAGTGCTCTTTTCTTGATCACTTCAACTCTATTTGATTTGATTGCTGAATTAACCAACAACGAAAAAAGGATTGAATCCATGAGAAGATAATGATATTAACTCAGCTCTCTTCTCACCCAAAAATTCAACTTCAATCTCAAGAGGAGCTTTAAATTGAATTCTCAGTGACGGAGAAATGTGAAGGAAAGTTATTATGGTGAAATTCTAATGAAATTAAACAGTCATTAAACTCAGAATGAATGTGATTTTGCACAGTTTCCTCAACTTATAAAATGTCAACTCATTCTATGATGTACTAAAATTATTATTCAGCTTTTATTGTATCTTATTATCAACCGCATCAAAATTTATAATTTTCGCCAATAAACGTTAAGAGAATTTCGACAGCTTCGTTGTGACGATTTGAGGAAAACAGAATGGAAAATTCTGTCTCGAATTTCTCTGGGTGTGTCTTTAAAGTAATGCAATTTTCTCCCTCCAACATTAGCCTAAACACTTGCTAAAGACTTACAAACATGATTCAATTTATAAACATCTTGTCTGAAGCCCAAACGCGCCTCCTCAACTATTCCCCAGATGCTTGTGAAGAACCTTTTTGACACTCCACGTCGTAAAAGTTCCATTAAAAATTCCCCACAAACTTCATTCTTCTCTTCCGTGTTTACACAATATTTCCCCACTTAGCGTCTCCATAAAGGTCATCACGAGGGTGTTTTTCTCTGCATTGTTTTTTCCCCAGATAAAAAGGCGAGATTTGCCCTATGGAGAGCAAGAAACAAGAAAAGTTTCCAACAATGTTGAAATCTAATACCATCTTTTCATCCATATTATTCCTCCTCAACATTTTTATGATTGAGTCAACAAAAGAAGATAGAGAAAAGTGTGGGGAAAAACAGAATGAATTTCCATCAACACAACTCAATTTGACTTGAAATGTTGGGGTGTTCGTTTAATAAAATTGATTGACGTAAATCGACAGACATCATCGACAGGATAATACGTTATCCTGTTGAATTGCAAAGCTCGAATCGACCGAATATCCATAATTTTCTACCGAGAAGAATGCTTTTTTTTCCCTCTAGTCACATTTGCCTCACACTCAGAGAGTTGAGGAAGCGGAGAAAAAAAATGTGTGCGAAGAAGAGATGAAGAAGGGCACTAACATTGTAAATTATATTGTAACTGTTTATATTGTACGCACCATAATATAGAATTAATATAATAGAACTTCTTAAGTACTCTTTGGCCTCTTCGTCTGATCAAAAATTCTCTCTTCTACCTTCGTCACACATGCAAGACGAAATCATAAATAATTTAAATTTATAACACAGGGTAAAAAAAATGTGTAAAAGTTGCTACATTTCATAATTCATGCCAATGAGAATTTTCTTTGAAAGTCGTTTTTTTTGGACACGAGGAAGTTTTAGAAAGAAGTACAGCTTTATTCAACAAACTGAAGCATTCCAAATGTCCACTCGTGGCGTCAACATCAATACAGAAATCTGTGCGCAAACTGGCATTTAGACTGAGCCACACTGTGTTGGATAGTGTGACGATGTGCAAAAGACCATAAACATTTAATTTCTGAATCCATAGCAACTCTTCATGCTCGAGAAGCTTCTCATCCAACAACACGAAGCGCAGATACTCAGTAATTATAGCCATGGATTACGTTCAGAAAAAAAAGTCCTGAGATTGCACCAAATACCTTCTTAAATATTAAATCATCCTGTTTTAGCGCAATGAACCATTCTAAATTCCATTTCCGTTCATTCTCATATACCAAAGCGACTTGTTTTCAACATTTTTCCTGCCAAAATGTCTCTCGAGACTCCTTCCGTGAGCTATCAAGAGTGAAATTTAATTGTTCACGGCAACAAGATTAAACTTTAATAATTTACTTTCCCTTTTTCGCTCTCCTTCCCCCAACAAACACGGCAAATTTATAGTTTGTCCAGAATAAGGGAGAAAAGGAGTGAAAATCCTCACTGTATTTAATAATAGAGATATCTATTGAACATTATCCACCCTGCAATAATACGCTATGTATACCCAGAGTTAAATCCATGGTACGTTCTATCTTTGCAACCATTCCGTGGGTTGCAGACATATTACATAAGAGAGAGTTTAAGGATTACGTTTCTATCAAATTTGCGCACAACGAAGCGAAAGTCATTCATTCACATTTCCATCATGTTCTCATTATAATAAAAAAATTGTGGATAGAGACTCTTTCTGCTTTTCTCATGCGAATCCAGGATTTCGACGGACACTTCGCGTGATGTAATTTGTGATAAACGAATTATGCTTCTTATTAATTCGCGAAAATTCTCTTACTGTTTATTTCTGATAAGGTTAATATAATTCTAAAAGCCTTTCTTAATGCTTTAAGATTATATTCTAAAATTTTATAAGTTAAACCTTAATACGACTCGTCATCAGTGAACCATTAGCATAATTATCTTCCTCTTTCATGAGCAATTTCCCTAATGGAAAAATAAGGAAGTTATGAATTGCTAAAACCCATCTTAAGGGTAATCAATTGTGTGGTTCATAGTTTTATAGTATTATTGTTCATAGTCTGTTCAAATTACCTCAGAATTTTTTTTTCGTGGAAAGCTGAAACTCTTTCAAGTCATAACAGCTGAAAATAAGGGAAATGCCAATGAAGAATGAATCTTTCTAAGCGTTTCCAGAACGTAAATCATCTTTGAAGTGGTAAATCTCTTGCTAACTGAGAGCGAAACCTCTCAAGAAAAGGATCTTATGAAATATAACTTCTTTCCATGAGTCGAAATATTGACTTTTCATTTCTCCATTAATATAATATTTTCCTTATCCTCTTTAAACTTCGAAGAAGTATATCCCTTTTAATTTCACTGATTTCACATGAAATTGCCATTAATTCAGTCATTGTTTGAACACACTCGCTGAGATGAAAAGGATTGCCAAGTGAAGTTAAATTAATAATTTAATTTGCCCACTTTTCCCTCTGTTCAACCATTTCCACCACTGAAAGAATAAACCAATAAACTTTCTTTCGTAAGTGCCCAACTTTTCCCTCACGCGAGTTCATAACGAAAAAAAAGGTCAGAGCGAAGAGAAGGAAAAAAAGGATTCGTCTTTCAAAGAGGAAGAACAAGAAACAATAAATTAGAATGGCATAGAGAAACAGTTGAAGAAAATCCATATTGAGAAAATTGTCTCTAAAAATACCACAACCAAAAAAGATTATTTGGCAAAACTCTCTTGTCTTCTGAAAACGCTCTTTCCACCTCGAAGACACGAAACTATCAGACACGAAAATAGAAAAAAAAGAGAAATGCTTCTGCAAAAGGAAAATCACGAAAGGATTTCTTCCTGACCCTCCTTTATTGCCCTCACCTCATTTATGGACTCGCAATTTCCACACAAAACTCCTTTTCTTTGCCAAACGATGAAAAACTTATACATCCAGTCTAAGTCTAATTATAGTAAAACGCCATCGACGAGTACCTTTGGCCTCCTTCCTTTTTGGATCCCTCCTCTCAACCAGAACAGCCACATTTCGCCCTCCGCGGCGGAGTTGTTACATAACAATATATTGTTGTATACTTTGGCATGAATGACCCCAAAAGGAGCCCCATTTCTCGCCATTTTTCCACCCCACAATGTAATTGCTCCGCTTTGGTGGATGATATTGAAAAACAGAGCGATAAGAGGGAGCAAAAAAAAGACGTGGTCATGAAGGAAAAACACGGTGTCTTGAGACAATGCCGCACATACAAACACCACTCATTTATTCAGTAACAAAGCCACAGAAGATATCTTATCACTTGATTTCTTTCAAGACATTCTCACTCTCTTCAATCATTCACATTTATATGTGGCAATATGGCCAGAGTAGTACGAAAAGGTAATTTTTAAAATGAATTACCTTCTCTCCACATGTCTCACATTTTACCACTTCTTGTTCACTTACAAACACACACAAACATTTTTGTCATCATGCCCAAGGAAAACCAAACACACAAAACCACATTCAGAAAGAATTCACCAGAGAGCAAAGTTGTGAGATAAATTCAAGCACAAACTTCTCCACATATTGCCACACAATTTCAACTGCCTTGCGTACTTTCCTCTCCTAAAGCATCATGTTGAATTTTGGCTTTTGTTCCGTCCGGAAAATGTCATCCTTGTCAGGAACATGAGATATTAGCAGAACATCGCAGAAAATTATATTGTAATTTTTCATTACACACTCATCTATTCAGCATTATTGTTGAATAGATGTAATGAAATACAATTGAAGAAACTTTTCTGTCAAGAAGCTTTATCAGAGAATTATTGATTACCTGTTTCATTAGGAAATAATTACTTCAATTCAAAGACCTCTGTTTAATCACTGATTGGAAATGTATAGCATGAGTAATCAACGTGTTTGATTGACAATTCTTATTAGATAAACCATTTTTGCTTTCATTATTCTTTTCATGGGAAAAAAATGTCATACTCTGCCCTAAACGGTTAATTATCACAATTTGCATCTAGAAATAAAAATAACTTTAGTTCTACTTGTCTGAATTGATTAATCTCTTTGGCACTCGAAAGCTTTCTTGGAGGGCAATTTTGAACATGAAAAACTATCGCAGACTGTAAAGAAGTTGAAACAGGATCGCCAAATCCACTTCTTCTCTCAAAAACCATTTCTTTTCCTCACCTCAGGAAAAAAGTTACTCTTCAGCACACGTTCACCTTTATGAAAAGTCCAAAGAAACTTCCGCAGTTGAAAACTCCACGTGTCACCGAACACACACAGACAGTAAATTGCTCAATCAGTATCAATCACAAAGTGAGGAAAGAACTTTTTGCACTCATCATAATTTCCGCAAGATTTTTTTTTTTGAAACTTTTCCCACACAATTTTTCACCGTCTCAATATTTTGCTATTATGTGCTCACACATATTTTCTTTTCAACCTCCACTCTGATGATCCTTCACGATCGATCACTGATTTTTATTTGAAGCTCAACATCACACCAATATGTTGTTGTTTTTTTTACTATTTCAACAGAAGTGTGATGGGAAGATTGCAGAGAAATGGTGAAAGTCTGTTTGTTTGATTTGTTTGCTGTGGAAAAGAAATTCCACACGAAATTCTTAAGCTCACATACGACGATAAAATCCTATTGTTTTATGCTAATTGACATAATCTGAAAAGAGACACTGTTGTCCAAGAATATGGCTCACATCTCAACACCCTTGCAGACACTCAAGCACACTTCCTCTCTCCATTCTTCCGCCGAGCCGGAAATCACTTCGAACACACACTGACTCTGCGCCACAATCCGGACTCACCAGCAGACAGCTTGACACTGAAATATCGGCGAAACTGTGCTAACCGACAGACTCTCTTTCTCTCGTCTTTCTCATCGGCTCACCAAGCACGCAAAGATTCCAATGCATGCGCGCACACATCGGGCCAAAAAGCTCTGCGAGCGCCCCAAACCCGCTCTCTTATCAACCTCCCCCGAAGCCGACCTGCACTAATAACACCCGACTTTTCATCAATGAAGACGCGACCCAGGATACAGAGGAAGCGCCGCTGCTCAAATGTCCGAGAGGAAATTGAATTTCACTCAGGAAAATTCGTCGATGTCTTCCCTTCACAGCCAAAGATGCTCATTAATTCACCATTCAAGCGGAACTTCCTGAATCGTTTCATCTTTATCAGGCTTATCAACGTGGAAAAAACTGAAATCTTAGTAATTCGCCAGTTGCTCCAAAAATTCCACAACAGAAACTCTGTGCAAATATTCTGGGAGAAATAACGCGGTACTTTTTCCAACTCACTCACGTTTGCTCAACAAATAAATAATTAATGAATTGAGACAAAAGTGAATTGCATTAAAATTTCAAATTTCGGTTGCGGGCGGAGAGACACTTGAGCAAGAACTCGAATGTGAAGAAAAATGTGTGGAGGAAACTCGCTCTGAAATCCATGCCACACTCTTTGAGAATTGATGGTCTCGTTTTTTTCGGTGTGAAACAATGGATAAAACATTTTTGATTACAGTGCGGAATTTGCACTAAAGAACGTCCACTTGAAATTATGATAACGCCATAATTGCCGCAGAACTTAAGCCTCAATCACATCGATAAAACTGCAATCTATGGAATTCGCGCAAATTGTGATACATGACGAATTAACACTTCGTCGCACAATGAAAAAATCATAACACGAACTGTTTTTCTGGCACAAAAAACATCCCATAAAATTTAGCTCTAGTTAGAGTGTGAAAATTTGTTAATTCTATTCAAAGAATTCATCATTGAGCATTTGATGAAGTTTTTTTGTTTGTGAATAAACGTGCAAAATTAAATATGACCTCATTCCAGAAATATGCATTGCTAAAAATATTCATCTGAATGGAATCAATAAGATTAATAGAAATTGTTATTGACGAGCAAATTGCATAAGTAATAATAAGTAAAAAAAAAAAGCTTTTTTCACGTATAAATAAGTAAATTATATTGAATCTTTGCTGTATTTTTATATGACTTGCATTTCTAAATGAGATTTTGGGTAAATTTCCTTAAATTCCCTTTGCACAATACCTATATAAAAATAATATTAGTTATCTCGTCTCACTCACTCTCTTTGAGTTTTCCTCAGAAAGAAAGAGAAAATGCTATAGATTTGGAGTAAAATTTATGGGAAGTTTACGAAATTTATGGCTGAGTAGTTGTAATTAATTGTTTGCGTTTATTTTGGCACTTTGTCACGGCGTAAAACGCCTTTTTTGGGGTGATTTTATTGAGGTTCTCTATAATGTCAAGTCCTTTGAAACCAACTAATCGCTAAACAATGATTTTTTTGTGACCATAAAGTTGCAGATTTTATATTATCTCTTTCTATTATGAAAAAAACTTTTTTCTTCAATCATTTTCAGAGCTGAATGCAAATCAAAGCAAACGTTTTTCCTTATATTTCCTTGCGCGCACGTGGCTTATCATAAATTCTTGCCATGTTTCTTGAATTGACCAATATTTCAAGGCGTCCAAGAATTTATGCACACTTGAGTTACTTCATGCCTTTCAAGGGCTTGAACGACTCGAGTGTCACTGATATGCATAGCTGTAGTGGCCTCCCAAAGGACTCCCGGAATTCCAATCTTCGGCCTACTTTCACGTGATCTCTCTGAGGAATGTGTTTGATTGGGGGCTCCCTTGTGGCATTGGCTGATTGAATTTGTGGCCAATATAAATCAGCTCTCTCTCGGACTCGCGCGTGCTCGTGTTACAATGAAATCGAAGAGTGCAATCTTGAAAGTAGAACAGCCTCACCATCTCGCCTTCTCTCACTTCCACGCCAGACGCGAAGTGTGAAAAAAAAATCCAGTGGAATTGGTAAGAATTCGCCGAGTTTTCACCTGAGATAGCAGCACAGGTGCGAGCGAGACGGAAAGTAGGTGAGGCGCGAATTCCGACCGCGGGGCGCCCGGAAGCCTCTGTGGCTGGCTCACCTGGTTCCTAGACGCGCCTCTGCGGATGCTGCGTGACCATCTTGCTGGACTGGCGGGACGGGAAAGGCACTTCACCATGGATTCCAGGCACTTCCTCACCACTGCATTTCCCTTGCCCGGCACGCACCGGTGACTCCACACTAACCTAAGAACACGCAAAACCAAGGAAAACCGAGAAAAACCGTGTGCGGTGAACTAATTAAAAGGAAATAAAGGGAGAAAAGAGCAACTAAATAAATGCTAAACCTGTCACTGCAACAGGTTCGTCGCGACTCCTCGTCGAGCGCCGCGACATCTGCCTGCAGAATTGATCCGGAAAGTCTTCCGGAAGTGTCAAGCGATGTTTTTGCAAATCCGTGGAATTTTTAAGCGTATATTTTTCTAGATTTCTTTTTACCCACTTTGATGGAATTTGTGGCAATAATTGATAACGTTAGTGATAAGCTAAAGGACTGAAGGAGTGACGAAAGGAATGGCCCAGTCAATAAACCGGAGTGTTTCGGCACAGGAGAGTAATATTCAGGTGATGACCTTTTCCATTCAGGTTTTCCCAAAAAAACCCAGACATTTTTTCATTTCCCTGGGAAATTCTGAATGCAAAAATCTTGTTCTTGAGTTCTTTTAAAACATGAATTTTTTGTTACATGGAAAGACCTTGTTGACTAATCGTGATTTTCCCTTTTTAGGAGATGTCCAAGGAGGATGACTGCCACTTGGAGTCTCGCTATGAGTGCCCCATTTGCTACTACTGGCTAAACGAGCCCGTCTTGACCTCCTGCGGCCACCGCTTCTGCCGCAAGTGCATCACGTCGTGGCTGAAGAAGGAGACCGTGTGTCCGGTGGACAAGCAGTCGCTCTCCATGGAATCCGACATTTTCCCGGACAACTTCACGCGCCGCGAGATTCTGCAGATCAAAAAGCCCTGTCCCAACGCCACTTTCGGCTGTCTCACGAACGTTTCGCCCGTGGAAATGGATGCCCACGTCCTGATCTGCGAGTTTCGGCGTCGCACAACCAACTTCTCTTGCTACTTCGCGCGTTGCGGCTGCAAATTCACCGCCCCGACGCATGATGCGCTCGACGCTCACGTGAAGAGCGAGATGGCGCACCATCTGGAGCTGCTCATGGAAGCGTTTCTGCACAACAACACCCTGGAGTCCGAATCGCGTCTCTGGGACGCACCGATGAAGGCCAACGGCGGCCCTCCGGCTGCCTCCGATCTGGTGCGCTCCATGTACGAGCGGATCGTCGTCTTGGAGCAGAAGCAGCAGGAAATGTCGGCGAAGGTGGAGAAGATGCGCGAGCAGTTGAGCAAGACGTGCTCCCAGGCGGAAATCCAGGCAAAATACACCGACGGCGTGCTCGTGTGGCAGATCGGGCAGTTCCACAGCAAGATCAAAGCAATGAGTGCCAATCCCAACATCATGTTCTACAGCGGCGAGGCCTACACATCGCCGCACGGCTACAAATTCTGCGCCAGAGTGAACATTTCGCCAAAAGTGAAGGACTTCATTGGACTGCACGTGCACATGATGCAGTCTGAGAATGATTACCACCTGGATTGGCCCTTCAAGGGGCGCATTAGGATCAGCATGATTCATCCCAAGTAAGTGCTGTTCAGCTGCAAGTTGTGAGAAGTCGTTTTAATTGTGGTTTTTCCTCTGCAGGAACTTCTCAGAGTCCCAGATGGACACCATAATGTCTAAGCCAGAGATTCTGGCCTTCCACCGACCCACGCAGGAAGGCGTGAGCCCACGAGGCTTCGGCTTCCTGGAATACGCCTCGATCACAGACATTGAGCGACGCGGATTCATCTTCCGAGACACTTTGACCATCAAAATCCAGATAAATATCGTGTAGAAGGGATGCAGAGACTCACCGAGACATTCCTGATCGCAGTATTTATTTACAGTATCCATACTTGTTTAGTTGTCCGTCCTCCATTGAGATCCTCGGTGACTATCCTGGGTGCTGGAATCGTGTCCGGGCAGATCTGATTTTTTCTAGACACATTTTCCACCATTGTAGTGCCGAATATTGATGTAATTTGTGTATGTGTGGAAATAGAGGCGAGGTTTTGTGTAACCACTGGTGTGTCTAGTGCACCACGGGGCCCAGAGGCTCGCCTCGGATTGAGGAGAAGTCCAGCCGGCTGTCGATGGAGTCATCGATTTGGCCAATTACTGCAATATTATCGCCCCGAATGATGTGCAGACCCAGTACAACTTGCTCTATCCCATTGGTTGTTGAGAATACTCTCTCGTGCGACTCGTCCAGGATCACATTGATGGTTTGGTCAAAGCCTTTGAGGGTCCCCACAAAATTCCTCCCGTCAGAGGTGATGATAGAAACCGTGTTGTTTATGTAGGATTCCAGTCCTGAAGACATCTGACAAAGGGAAATCAATATCCAGTGGATTAAAGAACAATGTACTATTGTAAAATGAAAGGAAAAGCCTTACTTCTGTGAGAATTCGCGGATTTCCCGGGAAAACGTTCCTCGGAAGCTCTCAATCTTTGAGGTTATGAGGTGTTTGTTTGGCTTTTTTGACGGACCCGCTTGACGACCGTGTGGCGCCGCGCTACGGAAATAAATGGCATCAATGGAAGGTGGAGAAAAGTGATGCGTAGAAAAATTGTGAGAAAATTCGGCAGAAAGTGGAGAAGATTTGTGCAAGAGTAAGTGAAAAAGTACTTAAAAAGCCTTGGAGACAATGATTCGATACCTTTCAACGCGTCTTGTGCATCACGGACGAGTTTTATGGCGACACCAAAATCGACGACAGATTCACACGAAAATTGCGGAAAACTCCCGCAAAAGACGACAAAATGCACCCAAAACTGAGCAGGTAAGATGCTGGAGAAACTTTTCCGCAGATTGCATGCATTTGCAGAGCTCCCTAACTGATGCATTGCTTGATCTTCACAGGCAATCGTCAGATACCAGGAGCCCTTCCAGCGATACGGATTTTCCCGATTTGTCCTCCAGGCGAGGAGGCTTCTGCTGGACAATGTGGTGAACAGGACCTCCAGCAGCCCCCCTGTGGAATTACGCGCTCAATTGGTGAAGAGGTAAGCAGGATAGATCGAAAATATTTGGTAAGTGTAAAGTCTAAGCATCCGGGAATGTTTCAGATTCTTCTCAAACGATTCTGTGCCCGTCCTGGCCTTTGTGGGCATTGCAGCTGTATCCGAAGGGGCTGTGCTGCTCAAGGATGCCGAACTGGAGGAGACTTGCGTGAAAATCCGCGTGAGTAATATTGAGGATGTGTTTGGCTATTGCATAACCTCAATTTGTCAGCTGATCGATCCTGAAAGGTTTCCGAAACTTGATTGTTTGTGAATTTTTTGCAGGAAACCGTTGTGAAATTCCGCCCTTCCTGGGACGAGGAGGAGACTTCTGTGGGAAACACACCAATTGGGCTGGATGACTTGGAGATTGGAGCGCCCATTGCGAAGGGATGTTCAGCTGTTGTTCACGCTGCCGCCCTGAAGCGTCACAGCATGGATTCTGGCCAGAACCGCTCTTATCCACTAGCTCTGAAGATCATGTTCAACTACGACGTCCAGAGCAACGCCCTGGCGATCGTGAGAGCGATGTTCAGGGAAACCGTTCCGGCGAAGCATCGAGCTCTGGAAGTTGCTGGCTTTTGGCAGCATCTGGCGGATCAGGCGACTCTCCTTCCGCCTCATCCGAATGTGGTGTCTATGTTGGGAGTGTTTTGCGCTCAGATGCCAAATCTGGAGGGCGCTCGCACGCTCTATCCGTCGGCTTTGCCGCCGAGACTCCATGAATCCGGCTTTGGCAGAAATATGAGTCTCTTCCTGCTTATGAGACGCTATCACGCTAGTCTGGCGGACTTTCTGGCGTCAAAGGGAGGGAAAACCTCAACTAGATGGGCTCTGCTACTGTTCGCGCAGCTCCTGGAAGCCGTGACGCATCTGAATCGCTACGGAGTGGCGCACAGAGACCTGAAGTCGGACAACATCTTGATTGATGTGGGCGCCGATGGGACCCCAGGACTCGTTGTGGCTGACTTTGGGTGTTGTCTGGCTGATAAGAAGCACGGTCTGCGCGTACCTTATCCCACGGCAGAGATTGACAAGGGCGGCAACACAGCTCTGATGGCTCCCGAGATAATCACCCAGAATCCAGGGACTTTCGCCACGCTAGACTACACGAAAGCCGATCTGTGGACTTCTGGGGCGATCGCGTATGAGATCTTCGGCATGGCCAATCCCTTCTACAATACCCAACTGAAGAGCTACTCCTACAGAGACGAAGATCTGCCGGCACTGGATGACGATGTGCCGCTGATTGTGAAGAAGCTGGTGGGAAATCTCCTGCAGAGGAATCCTAAGAAGGTGAGAGAGTCTGAATTTAGCGATCTTTCGCGGTGTTCTCACAGAAGTATGTCTCTTGCAGCGACTGAGTGCCGATGTGGCCGCCAATGTGATGCAACTGTTCCTCTGGGCTCCGTCCTCCTGGCTGCGCTCCTCTGCCAGCGCTCCTGCCCACTCGGAGATCCTCCAGTGGCTGCTCTGTCTCACATCGAAGGTCCTGTATGAGAATGCAATGGATTCGCGCGGCCAGAGGAGTGCGCAGTTCACGGAGTACTTCCTCATCTCCAGCTTTCTGGTCAGGGCGAGTCTCAGGCGCATCGAGAAGGCGTTGCTCTGGATTCGACGCGTCGTGGCGGAGGAACAGCTCGAGGATGAGGAGATTAAGGTGTGATTTCTTCTATTTAACCCGCGGTTTTGATGGTCTTTAAGAAATGAGAAGGCATTGCAAAAAGTGCCCCAAAATATATATATATTATTTTCCCTAAAAAATGTACACAAGTTCTCAACAAATGCAAGGATGAACGTCCGAGCGATAACAGGTGTTTTATTAAACAGATTCTGAAGGATTTTCGCGTGTGGGCGCCTTTTTGGTATGAATTCGTTGTGTATTTTGTGGATTTTATTGATAAATGATTTTCACCATTCATAATAGACAAACTTATAACACTAAATTGTAAAAATATTGCACTTTTTCAGCTAGAGAAAAACATGTCTGCATAAATTTCACTACCCAAGAATCTGTCCTGAGTGAATTTGAGCTAAAAACCTACCATGAAAACAGTGCCCAAGAAGGCGCCCACTTAATGCGCGTCAGAAGATGAGCTTCCGCACGGAGTCCAGGACGCACGTGGCCAGGTAAATGACGCTAAGCAGGGCCACGCTGATGGATAGCCAGCCCATCACTGTGCACTCCGTGCCGGTGGCTCGGACGGCCTGGAGACCCTTCCAGCCGCCCTTGGCCTCCAGCCAAGCCATCAAATCCTCTTCCACGACGTGACCGAAGACCTCCACGAGCCTGGGCAGGGCTTCTGAGCGGCCCAGACGCACGCAGTCCAACGCTACACCGCCCAACACGGCGCAGAAGGAGATGACACGCGCCCAGGAGGCGCCGCCACGGAATAACTCCTTGGCCACCTCGGCCAGGAGGACGGAAAGCGTCTCAGCCTCTGGCAAATCACCCCAGGCGCGTGACAGCTGGCGCCCTACGTTGCTGTATACGCGCGGATGCATCCTCTCCAGCTCCTCGCCGAGCTGCAAAGGCACGGAGTGTCAGAGGAATTCACGGAAAAACGGGCAGATGAAATCTTACCCCGTTCATGATGGGGAACACATCTCGGATGACGGAGTTTGTGGCCGGAGAGTCGATGGTGATGGTTCTCAGGCGCTGGATGACCTTCCGATTGAGGGCTCCGGATCGCTTGAGTCGGAAACGGATGTACTGCAAACAGAGACACTTTCCCTGCAAAAGTGGAGAGAGAAAGACACCTGTTGAATGCCTTGGGAAATGCGCGCGCTTTTCGCACACTCGCGCCCAAAATAGCCCATTTTCCACCGGCGCCGAGTGAGAATAATCCAATCAAATTGGTGTGTTGGCTGTGCTGGGCAGGAAGTGGCATGTGGAGAGTGTCTTTTAGCACCTCTTCACAAGGTTAAAGTAAACATCTGTGGATGAGATGCCTTGTTTTTTACGCCCAGGCGCACCTTCTTCTACCACTTGAGGCTGCTTTTCCCAACTCCTGCCACTCAAATCCGGGGGAAATTCCTCTGGGACACCACGCCACATACCTGTGCAATAATATCCTGCGGTGAGACCATCAAATAATCCACTTTTTTCCGCTTTTTCCATTCTCCCGGAGCGCAAGACGAAAATTCGTGATAGTCACTCATACAAACGATGTCACTTCTCGTTCGCCTACGCGGCGCAGTGGAGGGGAATGGCGCTGCGATCAGTCGCGTGGAGATAATTTTTTTTCATAAAAATAACGACCATTCGCTAAAGTCTTTTTACTTGGGAATTCCGGCTACAGTCATTGTGAGTCGGGAAAGAGGAAATGTCCCACGAATTTGATGATGAAGATGAACACACAAATGCCCAAGATGCATCCCAGACCCAGGGCAATCCACTCTAGGACGCTCAGCTCGGTGGTTCCGGAGGGATTCACGTGATAACTAAGACCCATCTGCAAAGAGAGATTGTTCTGCATAAGCGGAATATGGGTTTTCTTCGAATTATAGATTTCTCACCCATCCACCGTTATCGTTGATCCATGGCACCAGCTCGTCCTCAATCACCTCCGCGACGCCCTCCACGAGCCTCGGCAGGTAGTCTGAGTGCCCCTGACGGACACAATCCACAGCCAATCCGCCCGCCATCGCGAACAGCGAGATCACTTTGGCCCACGTGATGTCGGTGCGGAAGAGATCACGCGCCACGGCGCTCATGAGACAGGGCGCGGCCTCTTCCGAGGGCAATTCGCCACCAGGATTCCTGGAGATCTGTCTGGCCACGCCGCTGTACACCCGCGGATGCATCCTCTCGAGCTCCTCACCCACGTAGTTCAGCGCCGGGAACACTTCCCGGATCACCTCGATTGAGGACGTGCCCAGGATGCTCCGAACGCGCTGCAGGCCCAGTTTGCGCGTGAACACACCCGCTCGCTTCAGGCGGCTGCGCACGTACTGGTAGCACAGACACCTGCCCTGCGTGATGATGTCGTGACTGGGAATCGGCGGCGCCTTCCAGCCGATTGTGTTGGACAGTTTCCGCGTGACTACGTCGCTCACGTTGCTGAGGCGCCGGCGTGCGGAGGAAGCCGCCCCGACGGCCGGATCGACGGCCAAGAGATTAGATGTGAGATTGGCGGGAAAGCTGAACTTTCGCTTGGTCGGCGGAGGAGTTGCTAGGCGATCGGGATAGGAGGCTTCCAAGGGGGTTTTGCCAGACATTTCGGCTCAGAGACGCGCGCTGGAAAGGAAGAAGCAAGATAAGAAGAATGCGTGATCTTATTTGCTTGAGTCACATTTTTGGAGTGATCTTCTCTTGATTGATCACTCCATCAAAGATCTGTGATCACCAAAAGAAGTCAGCGAACAAGCAATTTGTAAGATAATCCGCAATCTTGGTACTTTATTTTGCAAAAGCTCCACTAAAAAGTGCTCGCAAGTGATTTTATAGTTTTCTGGCTCGTGCTGATCACCAAAGATCATTCTAATAAGGCGTCTCTGGCACGATCAGTGGAATTTTAATTGCTTCATTGACAACATCACTCGCGATCGCGCCATTTCTTATACTCTCTGCGCATTAAACCTTTTTCTTCCACAATCATTTTCTCACAGCGCGGATAAAAGAGAAATTAATTGCTGCATCGACACTTGAACATGTCGTGATAGCTCTCAATCTTGCCATCACGATTTTGTCACATTTATTTTGAGTGTATAAAATTGCGGATTGAATTAATTTTTGGTCAGTCTATCGTGATCACTTGAGATGATGATTTTGGTGATCTTTTTGGTGATTGTGCAAGTTTCTGGCTTCGTTTACCCACCGCAAGAGATCATAATCAATCGGGATGAGACTTCAGGACTCTATTTACCAGTGAACAGTGCTTCTGCGTCCCTGAAAATGACTCTGAAGGAGTTGAAATGCTGCTCGGGAGGATTTTTCCGCGCCAGAATTCAAATGAAGTCATCTCTTCCCGCCCTGCCTTCCATAGACAGTGCTTTCCCATTAAATAACTGCCATGTGAGGATCTTTGGAGATCAACTGAGGATTGAGATTCCGGGACAGAATTTCCAGGAATGCGGAGTGTCTAATTGTGGAGAAAATCTTTGTCTCAGGATGAGATTCCCTCACGTGAAAGGGTTGAAAACTGCCTCAGACGGTCTTTTGACCCTGAAATGTCGCCCTCAAAAGCCTTTGGTGACTCAGAATCAAATTCTGAGACTGTCTGTGGAGGAGAATCAGGTCAGAAGGGATTCTTCAGTGATTGAGGGCGGCAGTCAGATGCTCTTTAGAAGCCAAATGGGCCTCTTCAAGAGGAACAGACTAGATGGAAGCTTCTCAGAAGCTCTGACTGAAGGAGGAGAAGTTCTTTTGGGAGAACCACTAATGCTGAAAGCACAAGTCAGGCCAGAAGATGGTATTTTCAATTGAATTTTCCAGATAAAATGAACTTTTATAGGTGATTCCATATTAATTTCAGGATGGAATTTCACAGGAATGTCTGATATTTCTCTGTCCAGACTTTCTCCGGCTGGCGAGATTCTCCACTCCGCAAATCTGATCACTCGAGAAGGATGCGTGAATCCTGCCATGAGAAGTATTTGCTCAGAAAACCCCTCTTTTGATCCTCCTCTTGGCCAGAAGTTGAGATTCAAGGCCGCCAGCTTTCCTGGAATGATTTCTGGGGAGGAAATCGTGCTGAATGTCAGGCTATATGCTTGTCTGAATCCCAGAGATTGTCTTCCGGTGAGTTTGGAGGAATTCTAAATGTCCTGACCAGTGTAAATTATGGTAAAATCTTTCAGAATCTGACCAAGTGTCGCTCTAGAATCAAGAGAAGCTTCAAAGACTCTCAATTTGAAGAATCGAGGATTTCCTTTAGAGTCACTCTTCCGAATGGCCAGGAAATTGCGAGTGAATCTCAAATGAATGCTCTAATTCCAATCTTCGGCATCAGCGGTCTGGCCATTCTCTGCTTCGGATGCTTTCTCAGCATTGCTGTTCTCTGGCGAAGGAGATCCCGGACAGGCTTTCTGGCTAGCCGGCGCCCTAGTCTTTGACCCTATTTGCTGAACAATACAGTGTAATGCATTCAGAACTAATTGGACATTGTTTGCACTCATGTGATCCTTATCTGTGGTGGTGACACCTCGTGAAAATCACGCAATTGTGCAGAAAACGACCAATTATGGTGATTATTTTACGCTAAAGCATCCACGGAATGCCCACAGCCGACCACCTTTTTCCATAATTAATAATTAGCTCTGCCGTACTTGAAATGAATAATTGATGTACTCTTGCGGTGGCGAAGAAAAGGTGCCCAGATGTTGCCGTTGCGGCCCCGCGATCGACAACATCAAAGACGTTCAGCAACAGTGGGAGAAAACCGTCGCGAATGTCGACTGATCGACATTTCTTGCATTTTTAGCATACTATTTCATGGAATAGTAATGAATTTGCCCACCAATTGCCTCATATGCAGAATTTCACAAGAGATCCTCGAGTGTGTGAAAAAATATTGAGGGGGATTTATTGTTGATCTGAATTTTTTTTTTTACAATACACAGAGAAGTAAGAAAATCTGACCTATTATTACTCTTTCTTTATGAAAATTCATATAAAATAATTCTTTTCAGTTTATCATATTAATCTTTTTGTTTAGATAAATATTGTTAGATTTCATTTAGTGACAATGAGTTTTCAACAAATGAGGGAAAATTATTCTATTCACTAGTATTAAAATCATTACAGATAACTTATGTAAAAATCATCAATCAATCTGACGAACGTCTGGTGAACTGTTGACGATCATCCCTATAATTTCAATGGCGTAACGATAGATCAAATCTGTGACAGGCACAGCGCGATGATGGGCATGGAAAAGGCAGCAAATATAAATTTTCCCCGCCATATTTTCCTCACTTCTCGCACATAAATCACGTACACTTTTGATCGGCGCGGCGAAAGAGTCAACTGGGAGTCTCCACCTCTTTTGCGATCGTGTGTTGCTTTTAATTATCAGTGCCTGAGTCACGCTATGCACTAAATCACATCTAATGCTGGACAGATTTGTAATACAAAAATTCCGTCCGATTATCCGTGCTTCCCTTTTCCACCAAAAGGGGGAGGACACGATTGCAAATCACGTGCAATTAATTGACGATTGCATTCTATCAGCGGCAAATTAGTTTGCCGTATTGGAAAAAAAGCATCTCACGATCGCCGAGTGGTGATCTTAATACCTTTGATGGCTCTAATACATGATCATTGGGTGGTTTTTATCGTTTTCTAAGTGGCCTCGGCAAACTGTCAAGAGCCCCTCGGGGCAGTTTATCATCTCATTTGCCATCGCACATCGTTTACCTTTGCGCCTCGAGAGCCGGAAGATCGACATCAACCCGTGATCAGGCAACATTGTTGATCGCAGAGGAGAGATTGTGACTCGGCGAAGATCGCCGAAAAAAGTCAAATACGTTGAGGAAGTTTATCAAGCGACAGAAACTATTAAAACATATACGATCACTTAATTTCGGTGTAAATATTGGTTTTCTGCGCGATGACGTCCGTTTCGGCCTCTGGAGCTCAGGTGAATCACACTGAAAAGATTTGCCGTGCTTCAGAGTGGTGCCGATGATAGATTTCTGATCATCGCTCAAGTGAATTTTGCTTGATGATCTCTTATCATTGATCTAGAGTTGCCTCTCACGTCACGGATTTTCAACACACAATCGGTCGATCGATGGTAAATTGAGGAAGCCACCGAATGTTGAATTACTCAAGAACAACCGGCGAGTCAATACAGAACCACACGTAAATTCAACCCGATCATTTGCATAATAACGAATTGATTCTCCAATTGCACCTCTGGCATCGAATATCGCCACGATCGCGCACTGCAATGTGATCTTCCGTTGATCATCAATCTCAGTCCAATGTATCCAATTGCGAGGAAAGCGCTTCTTGCATGCGCAATTAAAGGAGGCAAGCCAAGGGGGAGATAATATGCCTTAAATCTGTACACAACTTCCTGACGGATTCCTGCAGTATTTTTAATACTTCAGACACTTTTGAACGTTCTTAAAGGCATTTTTCATCTCTAGTTAGACTCCTTCAACTGTTTATTACTCACTTTTCTAACTTATCACAATATAATACAAACTTAAACACAAATTTGATGATTTTTAGGGTTATTTAATCAGTAGAAGCTGTTTTTAATCAATCACATTACCTAGAAAAAGGAATAAAATTGATTTCTTTCAGCAAAATAATTCAGAGAATACCTCAATTTGGTGAAACAGAAGAACCGTAAGAACTGTACACCACTTCCGAGCATAATATCTGCCCCTTGAGGTAAACAACTCGCCAGAAGGGATCACTTTTGGGGATCAATTTAAAACTATTTCACCAGTAATTTGCATACAAAAACATATTGTTCGCTGCGATATTTTCTGTCCACTGTCGATCGCGTGGTGAGAATACTGATGAGGAGGCATGTGGCCAAGGCAAAGCAGGTCAGAGGGAGGAATAAATCGTGCTTGAGGAGAGTGCAAAAGAATGCGATCCTCAAGGGAAATTGCAATCGTGACGGGTTCACTAATTGATATCGCGAGAGTTCTTGGACGCGCGCGCGCGTTCCCACCCACAAAGAGGGAGAAAAAGCGCGTGGAAGGTCACATAACAATGCAAAGAGTCACTCACCAGCATTTTAATCTCGCCGTCACGAGTGATCTGTTGGCCGAGGTGCGCGAAAGAGAGGCGCAATCAGGTGTGCGAGCGGCGCAGAAGCACCTCAATCTAATAAGACACACGCGACAAACTCTCTCACACATCTTCCGCGGATCTTTTTAGCGATCTGGCGATGTTGCGTGGAAAAATGATTGATTTTCTCAGAATTTTTGAGAGATTTTCTCTCTGATGAATTCACTTAGCACGGATTCGCAATTAAAAGCAATTAAGATGTTGGGGATTCTCTGTAATTTTCTTTCCCAGTGCCGAAAAGGTGATCTTCTCACGATCGAGACGAAGGATGGCAGAATGAGAGATGGAAGAGAATTGTTCTTGTGCAGATTTTGACGATTCTGAATTTACAGCAAGAGATCCAGATTAAAGAGTCTGCGAATAATATTCACACTGTCCTTCACTTATCAGACATTTAGTGTAATCATCGGTTCAGCTTGAGGTAATAATAATTAGAAAATCATGGTGAAAAACGTGAGTCTGTGATCATCAAAGGCAGTAAGATTGGTCAAACTTAGAACTGAACAAGTCATTTGTGATATAATGGCTCACTTATTCCCACTTAGTATGTCAATAACTTATTTTAGGCTCTTGCATTCTAAGAAAAACCCGTGAAATGCTTTCCTGGAAAAAAAGATACATTTAGAGCGTCAGCGAAGGCAAATTGATTTCACTAATTTATCACTTAATATTCAATGAGTAAGGCAATGCCAATTAGATGCACGAAACAATGTGGAATAATGTTCTATAGTCTAATTCTGGAAAGGATATTAATGCATCCGCTAAGTGTTAAGAAAATGCGATACATTTCGACTTTTTTTTTAAATAAAGAGACAGAGTTTTTACCATGATGAAGCAGAGACTTGAAAATTCAAGTGACAATTTTATCTATCCTATAATTAATTTCCTTGTGTGAAATGTTTAGCATTTTTAAATAGATCCATTTACAAATTTTCATGTTATTGTGTAGTTTTTTCTATTGTCTGTGTGTTGAATTGAAAGATAAGAGCTCTCATCTCTCTCGAAATACACGAATTCTGCATCGTTTTCCCTTCATGTTGTGACCGCAGTGACCGCAAATGCGCTTGAGAAGCATGATTTAGAGAGAAAAGGGAATCTAATTTAATGACTGCTTTGCCAAAGTACGTTTTAATGAATGAAAGTGCCTTCAAAGCAATGCTGTCGTACACAAATGAAAATGTACAACTTCACTTTCAGCAATTACAAATGATTTCTATATGAAAACACTTCTGGGTGAAGATTTTGCTGTGTTTCAACAGTGCGAATATAATTCGTCTCCATCGCTAATGCTGGATAAATTGTGCGAATTATTGCGCTAATAGCGTTTCACATTGCTTTTTTTCATCATCTGATGAGGAGCGGGAAAAAAGCGCGCCAAAAGACTGGAAGTCGAACAAATTGTGGTGTTCACTGTTAAATTTATTCAATTGAAAAACCGTGTGTGTTTGCTCTTGAGCAATTGACTCAGTTGGTGGCTTGAGTTTCTATTTCCCCGCAGCTCAAGTCTTTTCCCATTCACGCACTTGCCGGCAAAGGGACAACGCGGCAAAGTGGAAAATAAAGAGTTTTGCGGGTGTGAGAAAATATGGGCTTATCGCGCGTCCGCGGAGAGTAAATCGATAAAAAGATATATTCATTATCATATTCGAGATAACAAATGGTAATGAGAGTGTTTTCTACTACTCACCATGCAAAATATAGAATTGAGAGTGTCTGGGATGTTTTTCCTCGTCGTCGACAAATGTGGGATTTATTGCTTTTCGCAACTTCTCTTTCTCTTTTCCACCTTTTTTTCTCACAGCAAATTCCTCATATCGTGCAATTGTTTTTCACCTTAAATCACCACAAAATGCACAATGCAAGAGAGTCTGGAATGCAGCTTTTCTTTGGTTTCACTGTGCACAAAAATCAATGGCGACAAATTATGCTGGGCTTTCTAGGTGGGCTCTTGAGACTTTCCGGGTCAAGAATCGCACATTTTGAGCCACTTGTGAAGCCAGCGAGACTTCAGCAGATCAGCTGGATGTTCACTCCTCGGAGAATCACCGCACACTGAACAGACGTGGCTTGAATCACTTCTGCTCGAGTGATTGTTCGCCAGAGGCGCACTTGAGACTCTCTCAAGGGGTTCATCAACTCAGTCAATTGGTGGACTTTGCCATGGACGTGAGAATGCCGCGATAGGGTGCCTTTGCGATTGATTTCGGTCGATGGAGAGTTATTTTGGGGCTTTTGTCACGCAGAAAATCAGCCCATCATTTTTGGCTGAGTGATTTTGAATAAGAAATCCTAATTTGGAATTTTACCCCAAATTGTCTAAAGCTTTGTCAAGTGTTAAATTGCAAGTTGATTTAAAGTGTGTGAATAGAATTGTTTTTGATGTATTTTCTCAAAGTTTAAGCCAAAAATTCAAGACACGACAAAAAGATTCAGCAAATTGAAACAGTTCTGGTCAATTTATCAATAACATTTTTATTTTATTCATCAGCTTCTATAGTTTTTCACATGATTTTTTTCTCATTTTATTCTTTTTTTTTATATTTCATCACAATGGAAAATATTGAATAATTTCTTCGCTTTTGTTCCTTTTATTTTTTTCACTTCCTCACTCTTTTTCACGTCTATTTTCTCTATTTTTCATGTTTTTTTTTTTATTCACCTAGGATTTATACCTTCCTCACGCTTATTGTTATTTCTTCTTATGTCTCTCTCTCGTGATTTTCATTCTCATTTTTATATTTTCTTAAATTGTATAGTCTTAAAACTGAAAAAATTGTAAAATTATTCGTGATGTCAATAGTGTGTGTTTTTGTTGCATTTTTCTTGTATTTTCAGAGCTTAATTCTTCTTCAATATTCACTCTTCTTGTGGATTTTTTCATGATTTTCCCACCTTCAACTTCTTTTCATCTCTTTCCTAATGTGTGTGTGTTTTTTTTCTTCATTTATTGATTAAAAAGGAATATCATATTTTTTTTCTTCGTTATTCATCCATCCTTTCATCTCCTTTCATTTTAATGTATATATATAAATATTTTACGTTTTGTATAAAGATTCACAATTTTTTATTTATATGTATATTTGTAATATATCATAATAATTATTAGTTGTAATATTTCCATATTTTATATACTTTTTCCTTTTAATTCCTTTATTTAAATGTAAAATGTGTGTGTGTGTGATTTTTTTTCTATTTCTTATCTTTCTGGAGGTTTGAATCATTTTTTTTCTCGGAATCTGTCAACTGAAGATTTTTCTTATCATTTTTTGAGTAAAATTTCCGGCTGATTTTCCCCAGAATTACTTAATTGCCTCTGAAATGTAACTCGCGAGATTTTTCTCTCAGTGATTTCGTTATATGCTATTCTTAAATTATTTTCTCTCTCTAATGTATTTTGAAATAAAATTGTCACTCTCATATTTATCCTTCTGACACTAAAACATCTTCTCTGCAAGAATAGTAACTAGTTATTGAACTCATGTTTTTTTTTGTATATGATTTTCCTATATTTTTAAATTACTATTTTTTAATTTATGGTGATTGTGTATTTTTTTTCTATTGTTCATTCCTTGTAAAATATTTAAGATGACGCTTTAAAAAGAAAATCAAGATTTTTATCATGTGGAAAGTATTCAAAAAGAATTTTTTTTTTAAACATCCGAAAAATTTGATTGTTTGACTTTCTGATTCAAGAGAAAATTGCTTGAGCTTTCAGAGAGCTTTTGTCCGTCGTCAAAGTCACAACTTTATTTTGGAAATCTTCTTTCCACGCAAAATGATATGAATTGAATATGATTTTTATTGGTTTTCCTATTCATCTTTGAATGTTTCTTTTTTTCCTTTTCCTTGAAAATATGATTTGTCGAGTCCCATCAACATCCACTAGTGACGGAAAAGCTCTCCGATACTCAGCAATTTTTAGTTTTATTTGGTCAAAGCTCGACGGCGAAATATTATTCTCTTAAAAATTCCCTTTTCTCACACATTCAGTCCATTCAATCACTGAAATCGACCTCGATATTGTTAATTCCTTCTAAATTTATGTTTCTTCTGAATGTACATATTTATAATCTTATCATTTCTCCTCGTTTTCAATGCGAATTAACTCAACAACTTGTCTCAAAATTTCTTTTCACTATTTTATAATCTCCTCGTGTGTTTCTTACGTTTCATATTCACCTCCAAAAGTCTCCTTAACTCACTAAATATGTAATTAATAATAATTTATAATAATTACTTCCATAGCATTTTACATGTATTTTAGTTATTTTTAATTTTTACTTTACTCCTTAATTCTTTTTAAATGTAATTTAGAGACTTTTTTCAATGGGAAACTCACTGTAGCCCGTTTTTTTTTGTTTCTCGATGCTCTCATCGGTGATCATTGTGAAAGCGATCATCAATGAGATCTTGGCTTTCTAAAAACACAATTCTAGGAACATATCGTCCGGTGACACTTCTTAACTGCCATTAATGTGCTGTCGTTCACTTTCCTCAATGTATTTTTTTTCAATATTTTATCAAAAGAAGAACAAAGAAATATTTTCATCAACTCAAAGTGATCATACACAATATTCACAAGTTCCTATACGTCAACTTTCTCTCATTTCACCATTATTTACAGATAAAACACTTCTCTTCTTCACTTCTTTTACAACTTAGATGACTAATTCATTAAGATTTTCACCTCCTTCATCCAGGAAAATGGCATTTTTAATTTTACTCCTTATAAATTGTTTCTTCTCATATTGAGAAGAAATGTATTCTAGTGGCTTTTTCGTGATTTCTTTTTCTTCTTCTTGAAAACTCTTTTTTTTTAAGTGTGCATGCGTGTGATTTGTGGAGTTTTTCGCGTTGTTTTTGAATTTTTCTCAAAGCAAAATTTCAAGTGACTCAAGAACAAATTTATCGCTCAGGAAACGTCATATCGAAGCTCCGCCCACACATAAACTCCGCCCATATGTGATCGATTTATCCTACGATAAACCAAAATTCAAAACTTCTAAATGAAAATGCGAGTAAATTCGAGATGAAAACGCAAAAGTTAAAGCGCGTTGAATCGTGAAATTTAGAAAATTTCGCGCAATGACTAGAAAAAATTTTGACCAAAGAGAAAAACATAACAAGTTTTCTTGTTTTACTTTCAGGCCTGGATTCGCACTGCTTCTTGTGTGTTGTTTTTTTTTCATAACTTGCGAAAAGGAAAAGCGGGAGGAATTGTCAGTGGAAACATTCTGTTTCAATCCTTTTTTTGTCTCAAATAAAAAAAAAAATTACATCTTGAGGATCAAAAATTTTGGAAGCGTTGCATTGAAGTTCGATGCTATTCTCTAGATTCTCAATTATTTCCCATGTAAAGATTTCTCTTCTTTTTTTTAATATATTGTATATTGTTTCATTTTATTTCTCATTGTGACTAAATAAGTATTTTCTTTTGTAAAAACGTCTCGTCACCAAAAAATTATCTTCGCATTTTTTAAATGTCCATTCCTAATCTGAATTCCTCAAGTTATTTTTGTTCTCTCTTTTACTCTTCAACCCTCTCAAAACAGCTTTTTTCATCCACTACCTAAAATGTTATCACAGTTTGCATTTAGTTTCAAATAACAATTTATCCACTCAATAATTTCCGCATCATTTTTTTTTTATTCTTTCGTTGAATCAAATCGTGAAAATGATCAAAATATTCTTTTTCTCATTTATTATTTTTCAAAAATTAAAAATACACGCGACCTTCTCGAAAATTATATGATAATTTTGAGATTGTTTTAATTTTTTTCAGTTAATATCGTTTTTTTTTTTTACATCCAATTGGCTCCACTCTGATCTTTTTTTTCCATGAATCTACTTCCAGATTATTCATTTTCCATTCGGTTTTACATTTAGCCACTGTGTTTTATTTTCAATGCGAAACAAAATGCGCGAAAATGCATTAACTTCTCGCATTTTTTCAAAAACATTTTTAACGATGTTTCTTTCTTCTACTGTCTTACCTATTGCGATAACTCACCCGAAGTTGGGGAGTTTTGCAATTTCATGTTATTCCATTAAAAATACTTTTTACAAAGTTTTTGTTTTTTACAGTTTTCTTCGAACAAATCGAACAAAATTGCTGATTATTCTCAACAAAATATTACAATGTCATAAATGAATGTTGCTATTTTTTCCCATTTTCGATAAATCTTCTTATTGTTGCTCATGCATTCACAGTGAAATTTTATCATTTATGTACACTTAGAAATTTCTTCCGGGTTATTTTAAAGTAAAATAGAGTTGAAAATAATTTGTTTTTTTTTACCATTTTTTATACTTATTATATTTTTAACATTCACCTTGTTTTGTAAAATATCCTAACTAATGTGTAATTTTAATGAATTTAGTTATTTTTACTTTAACTTACACTCAAGTATCTCACTTTTTAAATTTTTTAAGACTTACTATGGACTTAATTCTAATGGTAAGTTCTATACTTCTTTTCCATACTGTGAATTATAATGGCAAAAAAAAAAGAAAACTCTTTTACCCTAAAGAAGTTCTTCTTAATTCTGTCAAGCTGCTCAGCTCTGAAACGCAATCAATTAACTTTTTTTTTTACGTAGTTTGGTAAATGTGTAAAAATAGAAAAAGTGTGATTTAAGTTCTCTGATAAAAATCTTTCTCTAAGATGAAACCAAAATGCCGGAATGTTGAAATTTCGAACTGATATCGGTAAATTCTAGGCTTGACATTCGCGACTTTCACTAAAATCTATACGTCATATTTTTTTTCTTATTTGTTTTGTGAATAATTTTTATCCACGCATTTTCTTCTTCACCACTTTATGTTGTCACTCTTAATTAAGGTATATTATACAATGTAATATATTTTGTATATAAAATCAAATTGATTTTCATTTATCAATAATTCTTAGTATAAAAATACATTTTATTCTTCATTGATTTCACCCCTTTTTTTCCACCCCCTAATTTCAATAATTCTTCGCCTCATTTTCTTCTTTACTTAATTGTCTCTGATTTTTTGCAGGTAAAGATTGCAGAAAGTATCTTCCCACGATTTTTTCCTCATCTTTCCATTTTCTTAGTTTAATATAATTAATTTTTTTTTTTTAGAATATTCATCATACTTTATTCATCCTTTTAAGATAAGATTTTTTTTGTGTGTGAGTGAATTCTAGAGATAGAGTCTAAATTTATTAGTAGATTTATTGTTAGTTATTCTTTATTGATGAGTATTCTTTTCGATTTATATTCTTTTACTTCTTCTTCTTTTTTTTTGAATATTTCTGAGGTCCTTTTTTGAAATAAGATATTTTAGTTATGTACAGAATATAACAAAAAAGAAAACTCTAACGTAAGATAGGAAAGTTGGGTTTTAAAAACTAACATGAAGAAATTGAGTTCAACAAAACTTGATCAAAAAAAATTAACCACCAAATTATCTTGGGTGTCTTTTATAAAGATCACCCATCGTCACAACAGTTTTTTTTCGTGTTGATTGACTTCTCCGAAAAAAACAAACATAAAAAAATTGACCCAATTTCGGTTTTGAAAAAAATAGGAAAATGTTTGCCTGCGAAATATCGTTCAAAAGTGCTTATATTCAAAATATTCAATACAAACGTCATATTTTGTATCATGTAAAATCTTCCATTTTCTATTTTATTTTCCTCTTTGTTAATTTATCGTTGCTCCAGTAGGACGTGTCAGTAAAAATTGTTGTTTCTATTTTCCACCTCGTTACACTTCCATTTCCACAATTTTATCCAAATAAAAAAATTCCTCAGCGCTCTTATCAGCTATGCTATTCATAGAGAAATTTGTTAATTCTAGTTGAATAATTTAAAAATTACTACCTCCCCTTTCTCTTCTCTTCCACGGAAGTCAATGCTCTTCAATCATCTCCGCACTTTTCTTTTGATTTTCCTTTATTCCATTCCTGATGGTTGATTTTTGCGTCCAGGCATCTTTGCACACAAAACAGCCGAAGCTGGCCTTCCTTGGGTTATGCTAGTTTGAGGTCACGGCCACGAGGGAGGAAGAAGACGACGAAGTTCTGTACAAGGCAGACATCACACTTGCAGGCGGCAGTAGAACCGGGATGTGATAATATTTACCTGGAAAAACAATGGATGGATTAGGAAACAGCATCTTAAGGATGTCGCACATCGACGATTTCATCAGCAAAGAGATTGAATTATGTGAAGAGATTAGGGAAATCAAGCAAAGTGTTCATGTTATCACACTGAATTGAAGAAATAGTGCTGAAAACTGTTGCAATTGAAGCAAACGTTTCACTCAAATTGATTGTCAATTCTTAAATAGGTCAGAAAGGCTAATAGCACAAGAATGATCGTTGAACACACAATTGCTGATGAAATCGTGGATATTTCGAAAAATACGTAGGTTTTTATCGATTTATTACAATGATGACGTCTGCAATTTCCATTGGCGTGATCTCGACACACGGCAACTCTCTGATCGGTCACTTCGACTTTGTCCACTGTAGAATAAATAACAAGAAAGCAGATGAAGAATAATCATAAAAATTGTCAAGAAGCTCCAGTCTTTTTTTACCTTCAGTTAAGTGTACAAGTTTGCAAGTTGGACGGTTGCATTTGGATTTATTAAAATCTTGGCACACCGGGAGGGTGTCCAGTAACTGAAATTCCAGCCAAAGTCGGTGGTGTGTGAGCAAAAAAGAGAAAAACACCGAAATTAGTGATCATCGTGGCGAAGGGTTGATCAGATGGGAAAAATTGCAGAGAGAAAATATCTTTGCAATTGATAAGAGAAGAGATAAAAATAAATAAAACAAAAACGTCCGATGAGTTAGCGATAAGAATGGTTAATAAAAATAAGAGATTTGTCATATGAGTCTTACTATCTAGTGTTTGGAAAATATAGTTTACCCTAGACTTTATGACTATAATCATACTCTTCTTATTGTTATCTTAATTTTAAGAGCTAGCCTTTCTGATTTTGTTAACATTTATCCAAATAGGCTTTTTTTTCCTTAAATTTGCCCTGTTTTTTGGCATATTGTATTCATATTTCGTGTCGGCTAATTTTTTTTTTAACAAAATAACCTATAAATCTCTCACAGAGAGTTTTATTTTCATTGTGTAACTTTGTACTGCTTTTTTTTCAAATATCGTAATCAAATTATACACAAAAAAATCTCTTTAAGCAAATATACAATGTAACGCTTAATCTCTGGATGCAGAGATTAAAAGAAATCCACGACTGTTTTCGAGGAAAAGCTTAAATAAAACTATAAATTGAAAAATAAGACAAAGAGTTTGACATCGTGCAGGAAAATTCTAACATAAAAAAAAACACATTTTGCTTTCTAAGTAAAATAAAACAATCTTCTGCAGGTATTTTTTGATTGACAAAAAAGATTTGCTGTTTAATTGGAATTTTTCTGTTTTGTTCAATGATGTGTTAGAAAGCGATATAAATAAAACAAGTCACTTTTAATAGTTGCTGTTTGTTGCATTGCAAAGAAAGCTTTGTTTTTGCCAAAAATACCAAGCTTTGAATCCTACATAATTTCTTATTTGTTGTCAAAAGGTACAGAAACCTCTCTAAATATGTCCACAAAGACCACAACCTTCAGCGAAATGTTCCTCAAACAGTGTGTAGTGGGAAAAGCTCTCGAAAAGCTTTTCAAATATCTAATTTATCACATGCAGCCAATATTTGATCTGTAGTTTTATTTATATCGCCTGATCCAGGTAATCTCTCAAACAAGAATAAACTATAAATTGTGTTAAAACGTGTCCTTTGATTGTGTCAGTATAGAAAAAAAAAACACACAAAATCATATGACAAATAATATAGTTAGAGAGCGGAAAAAACTGACAAGAACGAAAAGTAGATAAACACAAAGATAAAAAAAAGCTGATGTGTGGTTAAAAGTAAGGCTTGTCAAGTAGCTTTTTTTTTTCTTCAATTAAAAGAATGAAACGCCAATTATGGTTCCTCACATGACATTAAAATACTTTCTAAAATAAACAGTCTTTGGTGTGATAAACAATAAAATGCCCTAACTACATAAAATATGGGTTAAAATGTAGATAGAATAAAAACGTATTGTCTAAAAATGCCGAAAAATAAGCTTTTGCTTCAGCTAAAGTAACACACAACGATAAATTGACGAGAATTTGTTGATTATCAGAGTTTTTTTGGCTTGACTTTCACCACCAATTCTACATAGACAAGATGTGAATAATGATATTAAAGCATTTTAACACAATCAGGAATTATATCTACGCTCTGTTTAGTTTACAGAAATTGACTCGAGACTGTTTAATGAGTCGAGCGTTTGTAGTTTAAAGCATTTTCTTTTGCCCTAAAAAGTGTGGATATTATGACATTGTGTGCGTTTCTTTAAACTGGATAAAAAGCTCATTTTCACCGCAAGCACATCAATTGCACACAGTTTCTGGTCAAAGCTTCCGATTACGGATGTTCTGTCATTCGCGAAGCTCGCAGATTACATACAAAACTCCAACCGAAAGCTTCCTCTTCGGACCAACAGTGTGAAATTGCGTGAGATGCGTAAAAATAGAGTCAAAGCGCCAACTAACACAAAAGCTTTTGGTACCTGTCCATTGGCATCAGTGTAGATTACGTAGGGAGCATTAGGGGGCACAAGAGATGCTGCACAACAACCCCCCGCAATTAACATGCATGCAGTGGCGGCGATCAGGCGGGGAGGATGAATCACGAGTTTTTTTTTTTCATATTTGTGACAATTTTTGAACATATTTTTTTTCGCATTTTCATCAAGAATACATAGTAGAGTAACAAAACAAATCCTTCCAGAGGTGATTGTATTTTTTAAAGGGCGATGAATGTGATTGTTAGTTGCGTTTTTTTTTTTGACAGGAATAAAAGGTCGCAGTGTAGAACAGAAGTGTAAGAAAAAAAAACATAGGCAAAAGAGGCCATTTTGGAGGCATGTAATTGAGAAAAAAAAGAAGAAAGCTCAATAAGAATACATCATGCGCTATTATCAAAGTTCAAAAAAAGTGGCAAATCGGAAGGCAAGAGATAAAATCAGCAAGAAAAGCGTAAACTAAGAAAAGCTTCTTAGGAGGACATTTTTACAAGTTAGATTTCGCAGGATTAAAGCTTCGATGCGATGTCTAAAAGTAAAAAAAAAGAACAAAATAAGCTTCAAATATGGCTTCGGTCCAGATCTTATTGAAATCTGGCTCGATAGCAAAAGCTGCAGAAGCGGAATGTAATCTGGAATTTTTTTTTTACATGATTTATTAAAAATATATAAAAATTACCATTGCGTCCACACAGAGATAGCGTTTTTTTTGTATCTATGCATTATTTTGCATCAAACAGGCGGCCAAGTATTGCAGGATCCACAGAAGGGGTGAAGGATGGTTTTATTTTGCGGGAGAAAAGCTTTGCCAGGTTAGGTTAAAAGCTCTGCCAAAACACAATTTTTCTTGATTCAATTTCGATCACAGGAAAATACAGGTTAGATTGTTAGAGGCGAGAAAAAAGCAATAGGATTTTTTCTTCTTTTGAAAATGGATGATCAATGAGATTTTACAATTTTTGTAATATACTTTTCACTTGTATATTGCTTACAAACACATATTTTTTTTATTAGGTCTTCTAAACAGTGTGAAAAATACAGGAAGAAGGATCTCTTTTTGGATTGACGCTGAGGAAAGAAGGGTTTATTCTTTATTTGTACAGATATTATCGTAAAATCAACAAAGCTGTGCAGCAGTGTATAATCCAAATGAATTTGTGGTGAATCTGCAAAAACAGTCTTGAAAAATATTTAATAACTATTTTATCATACTATTGTTCAGATAATTATTATATATCTAAAGTTTAAATGTTAGTTAAAGACACGCAGAAAACACATTTTATGCGCAGTAGAATCACTCACACACGCACTCATAGAATAATTGGTGAAGTAATTATGAAAACAATTGAAAAGGTAAGAAAAAGTAATTTGAAAATTTTATGACAATCAAGATATTTTACAGGTGAGCGCAATCAGACTTCAACTAATGGAGAATAAATAGAGAATGTATAAAGAAATTAAAAAGACAAAGTTTATAAAGTATAATTTCAATAATGAAGAACTAATAAAAACCAAATATAACTACGAAAAGTTACGAACAACACAGACAAATCAATGAGGAATGGTTAGAAGCTAAGGCAGTGCATCTTACCTCTAGCTCGCACTTTCAGCCGAAGCTATTTTAAAATACGAAATTCAATAATCTTCCATTATTGTTTCTTCTGCAAGTTCTTTCAAAATATCATTTCTCTCTCTCTTCGTCAAAGTCTCTCAAACATTTAAAAAGGATTCTCAAACCAAAAACTAGCTGCACTGTTTTTCTCCTCTCAACAGGAGAGTCTGAATAATCAAAATTCAACTAATTTGTAAACATAAATTCAACTCAATATTGTAGCTTACCAAGGAACAACACAATTCTTAGACTAAACAAAAGGTGAAAAAAAAAATCAAAAAGTTTACTATTTAGCGAAAATCTTCCACCGAAAAATCACATCATTCACTAAATTCTCTTCAAAAGAAATAAAGAACAGACTCTTCGCACAGCGATCTTCAAAGAAAGGCAAAATACGCTTGTTTTTTTCTTCTTCTCTACAGAGAAACACAGGGTCGTATTCTCCATAAGGGGGGGTCAATTTCAACCCCCTCCACATCAAACAACGCCAAAAAGTACGAAAGAAACAAATCCATGTGGCGGGAAAATGATGCGACAGCAATAAAAAATGATGGAAAACTCAAAATTTGAAACGGGGAATGCAAACTTGGCTGTTATCATTTTATCGGCTTGCGTGTGTAAATTCCAATCACCAGATATAAAAACACAGAAAAAATTGCAGTCTAATTTCTTTGCACGTTTCCCAAGGTGTGAATCTTGTTGCGACATTGAGATTACTTGAGAGCTGGTTCTGATCAACTATAATTCTGTGACACTGAAGCTTTTATTCTAAGAGACGAAAATCAACATAGAGTTAGGAGACACTTTGTCGCCCAAAGTGACCGAAGAAAGGCTCAAAATGTGTGAGAATTTCAGTGTTTTCAGGTTGTTGAAGGAGCAATTTTGGGTGTAACAAAAGTGCAAAGATCATTTTCGTTCGTTCAGACTATATTTGGGGTATTTTAAGTGAGACGTTTATTAAAAAAAAAAATAAACATGCACTTTCTTCAGTGATTTCTCATACCAAAAATTGCTCCTTTTGTGTATACAGAAACGGAGAAAGGTAACAAGAATGAGGCAAAAGTAAAAAAGAGAAGCACCGACTTTTGCAATGAGTTCCAAAGTAAGAGTTAAAATAAATATAATGGATGAGCGATGCTGAGGGGGTGAAAAATGGCTAAAGGGGGTTGAGAGTAGCGCCGTTCACACGAAAGAAGGTGGCTCAAAATAGTCACAAAGTGTAATATTTGATCATGTAAGTTTTTCTTGGTATTTGCCGAAGAAGGAATGAAAAGAGAAAGCGTTCAATCACAATATAATGTATATAATATTTTATATGTATAATAATTATTATTTAAAACAATTAATCATGCATTATCAAGCAATTATTACAAATACTGCCTTAATTCAATATTTCTTCTTATCTTCACTTCAATGTTGGTTG